ACATAGCATCGTTTTATTGGACATTACAAGGAAGCGATACGAAAACCACAGATTACAGTACCGAAGAAGGAGAGACTGTGTTCAAGAAGTTACAGGATGTTGCTAAAGCAGGTAGAGATACTTCTTGTGTGAACAAAAGGCGCATGTCATCGAATGCTGAGAAGGTAGCATATGCGTGATTTTTGAGGAAGACCACCTATTGCAAAGTGCCATGGGGGAGTCCCGGTGGAGGTGGGAGGGGAAGTAAGAATTATATATAGCATAGTCTCACCTAAGAGGGGAGGTGTAAAGGGTTAGGTTAAGGGGCTTTTTGAGACTTGACTGGCCTTTCAAAATTATGAAACTCTTGACAGACATCATGTAACACCTGTTTTAGAGAAAAGACTAAACCCTACAAAACTATTACACATTGGGCACCACCTCTGGTTTCATTTACTCACTAAGGAACAAGCACAAAGTGCAAGGGACTGGAGATTAGTGTGAGGCCTAAGGGACAATGCTCCCTTCCTCCTCAGTGCCCCTCACTGGATTTTTAGCAGAGAGACTTCTTCTATTGTTGTAAATTTTTTTGCAACAAACAATCACACTAGTTTGATGTACACTTTTTATTCTTCCAACTCACCAGCAATTCTGATCTCACAATCAATAATCCTAAATCACCTATCATGAACCTATCAACAAGCTTGCTGTAACACTTAGGTCATGACAGTATGTTTTCCCATTTAAGGCCAAATGTAATGGGAGTGGCCTTCACATGCAAGTGAGGTACAGAACACCTGGCGTGGTACTCAATTCTTGTTAAGTAAAATTGATCTACTAATACTTAGCACCAAGTTAAAGACAAAACTTTGATATTCTGTTTTTTTATTCTACCTCTTGTTTTGCCTTCAAGGTGTTAAAATCCGAATTGTACAGACACCTCCTACTGATGCCTTCCCTCAGATAGACACAAATATCCTTTCCAAGGAAGGACTTGCAGATGTACGATCATTAAACATAACACGTCTGGTTGGCAGTGGAATCTTGCACACTAAGATGTGGCTTGTTGATGGTAAACACTTTTATGTTGGCAGTGCAAATCAGGACTGGAGAGCACTCACGCAGGTAGAGCTCAGTGAATACTTTTAATCTGAGTAAGAATTGTTTTCAAGGATTTTTTTCTCTCTGAAGTTTATCAGAGTAATACTGAGAAAGCCCTTGCTTATTTACATGTAGGTAAAGAAAGGTGATTTTTTCATCACAAAGGTTTCCATATTTTAACAACAACATGTACCTTTCCCTTTCCTTTCACTTCTCCCCCCCCCCCCCCATCTCCCTCTCATTCCACCCCACCCTTTAACTAAAACTTGAAAGCTTCAGGTTGGGCTTCTACTGGAGAGTGAGTCTCCAGTTTTTATGTGTGATCCATTTTCCTGTCCACTTTTTATCGCTTTTTTTGTATGGCAGGTTTCTGTGTCACATTTCAATGTCATTTCATTGTTTTAGACTTGAAGCTGACCATACTTCAGTTCTGTCAATGTTTAGGTGCAAGAGCTTGGCCTTATCACCTACAACTGCAGCCTCATGGCAAATGATATGAGCAAAATATTTGAGGTATACTGGGACCTAGCACAAGACACAAAGATCCCAAATCCTTGGCCAAAAAAGTACCAAACAACCATTAATGCTGGTAAGTGCCCAGACCACTAACCTAACCCACTTTTTAACTTAGGCACAAGGATTTGGGCAGTTCCATTATAGTTAGATTCTAATATCTGGAGACCAAAATATCCTATTGAGATATGACTGCTGATGTGATATTTGATATATTAAAGCTTGAAACCCTGCAGGGGTATGTTCCTTAGGTTTGGTGTTAGAGATTCTTAACCATTTGACCAATAAGAGTGATTAGCATCTAATTTCTCCTTCTAATATCACCCCTGAATTAAAAAATTGTGATCAAGACAATAAAAGAAAGATCACCTCAGCACCTTAGGAAATGTATAGAGAACAGTGGGGAGAATATGCATTCTGATGTTAGGGTGTTAAGGTGTATTGTTTGCAGGGTAATTGCTAGGCAGCTTCTGTACGAGAGTTGAAGTGCTGACATGGTTTGACTCTATCAGAGAGAATCCAACACTGTTCAGTTTTAATTTTTCCACACAATTTTTTCATTCTTTTTACAGATTCTCCGGCTCAAATAAAATTCAATGGTTCCAATGCAGCTTCAGTATATTTGTCTTCTTCTCCATCCGAGTTTTGTCCACCTGGTCGTACTGATGATTTGTCAGCCATAATACGAGTTATTGACAGTGCCACAAAGTTTGTTTTTGTTTCTGTGATGGATTATTTTCCAACAACTTTGTATACACGTCAAAGAACGTGAGTTCATTTTTTTTCCCTCTTAATCAACCATGTTTGTAATGTTTCACTGTACTCTAGTTCCCAGGCCTTGGTTGTTCGCGGGATGGATAACGCTATCCTTTGGATAAATCGATATCTATTGAATAGGGTAATACCTCCGGATAACAGTTATCCGCCTGATAGCGATTTATCCGTGGATAGCGTTATCATCCTTTGAACAACTTGGCGTAGGAGTTTATTTTTTAATGCGAATTAGTTCTCAAGATTTTAGAGAGCATCAATCCCGTAAAGTTCAGGGCTTATTTTTCTCCTTTTGGCTGCCAAATTAGCCAAATGGTTCCTAGGGCAAGATAATAAAAACTAGGCAATTCTCGCACTAGATTGTGTACAACATAATGCGACACACTTCTGAGCTTATTCTCATATTCATATTTTACCTTCAGTAAACACATGGTACCTTTAAAAATCATCAAGAGCTAACTTTTTGTGATATTGCGTTTGAAATGTGAGACGGAGTTAAGTAATCCTAAGAAGAAACGAGAAACACGGTTTCGTTCGGCGGCAGCGTAAAAATTCAAACTCCATATCCACGGTTGATAACAACTTGAGCACTGATTAAGAAAGACGGATTCACTTGAAATCGTTGACATTAAAAAAAATATATTCTTCATTAGTTATTGGCCAGTTATAGATGACGCTTTAAGACGAGCAGCATTTGATCGTAAAGTACATGTGCGACTGATGGCCAGCCTATGGAATCACACACGATCTGATATGAAAAACTACCTTCGATCCCTGGCTGCTTTGAACTATGCTAATGATGCTTATGTTCAAGTGGTAAGTGCAGTATCAGGTAATAACTGATTTTTTTCCTCGTTTCTTAAAGACATTTCTGTGGTATTTGGTTATAAATAACTCCCCTGGTACATACCTTTTACTGACCACGTTTTCTTACTCCGTACTGTGAGTTACGGACTTGATTTTTTCCACTCGCATTCATTCATGCCCAAAGCGCGAAGCGCACGGGTCACAAATCCAAGTGAGAAAAACGATGTTCTGTAACTTAAAGTGCGAACCGATAAAACAAGGTTAGTAGAATGTTCATTATGTCTCTGGGTTCGATTAGAGGAGGAAGATTTCAATTGAAAATATTTTTGAATATGGCGGCCGTACTGTGTAATGTGACCAATCAAAGCGCACGTAGAGAGACAAAGTAAGTCTACTTACACGTTTTCTCACGTTGCTTGTTGACCAATCACAAGTTTTGGGAGAGTGCGGGGGAATAGCGGTTACATTTGCTCTGAGTCTACTGTGGTAACTACTGAAAAATAAGTTCCGCCTTTATGTGTCAAGAACTAGACAATATTTTTCTCTCTACATTTACGTCAACAGAGGCTATACTCTGTGCCACCTTACACGAAAGAGATCCCTTTCACCCGGGTGAACCACAACAAATACATGGTCACTGAGAGTGTGGCATACATCGGTACGTCCAACTGGTCAGCGGATTACTTTCTGTACACCGGTGGCATCGGTTACGTCATCAACGAAACGGGAAATAGCAGCAATGTGCGTGCGCAGCTGCAAGCTGTGTTTGAGAGGAACTGGTATTCAAATTTTACTACACCAATTTACGACAAGGATTGAATAAGCTCAAAACCCGGTTCTAATGGACAGATAGCTTTATGAGATTTACTCGTACCATACATATTTACAACATTTGTAGCCCTGCTTGATTAATTTTACTGGGGTTTTATCAACCTAGTTGATTATGTGAATCATACACCGTAAAGAGTTGTCTTAAGCTGTCGTTTGGAGCGTCAGCCTTTCGTCAGAGCCAAGACACATTCCTTAGACACATTCTTGTAAAATGTGAGAACGAGATACATATTTTACGATTTTTTATAAATGTAGAAATAGCAAAATGTAAATCAAGGTAAAATTATCCCAAGACTCAATGAACTCTCTTTACGTCCGCGTTAGGTAAGATATTGTATTTTAGTGAACGTAATTGAATTGTAATAAAGTAAAATTCTTTGTTGATTTGACATGAGAATTCTCATCAGACATAGTTTAACGATTTGATGTACACAATTCAAACCGTGGGCTCAGTTTTACAATGCAAAGGTTACGGTGACCCTCGCATCAAACATCATTACTGTGATAACCTTTATCTAATACGAAGGCAGAGGTAAACTATTACGAAGTTCAAATGTTCCATATTTTTTACCAAATAGTGACAACTAAACACCGCAGATTAATTAACTCTTCAGACACTTTCTGCTAACGAGTAAGCCGGATATCACAATCTTCCGTAATGACGCTCGCACTTGCTTGTTGCTCTGTTTTTAGCCGCCTTCGTTTCTCATTTATTAGTCACTCCTCGTAAATAACATTCGTTTACACCCCTTTTACTTTCTTTCACATACCTCAATACAATCCTATCTACTCACTACGGCCGTTAAGATGTAAAGGCCTCTTAGTATTTTCAGATGTTCTACTGTTGATCTATAGCCTTGGTATTATTAATACCTTCCCATTTCTAGTTAAACATAGAGCATATTATTCATTACTACCTCATGGGTGCATATCACAAAATAATCAAGGAGAGTAATATTGAGCAGGCAACATCTAACGGCGTCACAATCAATATTTAGCTTTAGACAAGACAATCCTCGTCGATGTGTTTATAACCAAACCCAGCTTAAACGATCAAAGTACAGCAACAGAGCAACATGGCGTGCAGTAGCAGGACAAGAATGATAGCATTTGTCGTTGTGTTCATGATTGTTGGGGTATTTGGTCAGTCCCGTAAGTAAAATAACTTATTCTTATTGCTAAGAATAATGATCTAGCATTAACAGAATCAAAAAAACACGACATTCATGCTTCAGGTAGAAGCCTATGGTAGCTTGCTTCGGCGAATATTACAGGAAATTGTCTCAGTATTCATGGATTTTTTAACACTAAAGTAGTCATGAGAAGAGCAATTTGTAGTCAAATCAATTCAAAAGAATTAACGAATTATTAACTGCTTACAATTGCTTGGGTGTTTTCATTCTCTTGCTATATTTTTTAATCTGGTTTTCTTAATACTAACAATGTGAGTCACAAAAGTGTTTCTTAAAGACATTTTTTTTTTCCAAGACCAAATTTTCCCTTTAACTCACCCACAGCTGAAAAGAATTGACATAGGGCGACTAAGTTGTAAGAAATTCACAACAATTTTAAAGGTGCAAGAGGTGTTTTCATTCCTTTATTTGCCATGATATTGTGATAAACACTTATAAGACTGAGACAATTCTCGCTGTTGCTTGACATAATATCGTAAAAAACACTTCTAAACTGAAGCAGTCTTTTGACGCTCTGCACACGTGCTCAGGGCCACACCCATGACCAGTTGCTGGACCTTTAAACGAGTGCTTCTGGATTTTCGTTCCTCAGCTCTAACCAGCTAATCCAACGTAACTACAACAGAATCCGTATTCTAATATCATTATGCTATTTAGAGAAACTCTTTATCCTTTCCTTGTGGTCTCGTTACGTTAACATCAGGCGCAATACAGAATATAGTTTATTTATTCGAGCGGAAACTTTGATTTCAGAAGAAATGACAAGTGTAAATTCTGATTATCTGATCTTGCATCGAAAAGGAAAAAATGGAAGCACTTTCCCATCTTTCTTAAGAGTTATGAATTTACATATTATCATGATAATAAATATAAAAGATCATCCGCAGAAATATTGTATTCTAGATCAAAATGAATTACTTAGATTAACAACGTGAAAATTAACAATACTGGCAAAATGTTGGCGTCTATTCTGCAATTTTGCAATCATAACAAAATACAATATCACCAGATCGCGATAACGTTGAAATATTACACTGATAATGTTCAAAGTAATATAGAAAGGATGAAAACTCTAATCGTTTTAAAATTTCTGAACACTTTAAAATCAAGGATATTTTAAGAAACCGTCGTGGGTCAATACATTCAAGCTCTATTTAATCATTTTGAAATTTTCTGTATTACCCATTGCGTATTATATCGTGACTAACTTATTTATTAGATAATGTGTTGATAGTTGAACCTCTTCGTGACATGACAACATCAAGTGCCATATATCATACTCTACAAAACTTTATCAAATATATGATCATTAGCTGCTTCTCTCTTTCAAAGTTTATTAATTTTTACCGGCATTTAATGAAGTTCCGCTCATACCTTTTAATTACACATAATTGGAACCACCCCAATGTCGAAAGCTAAAATTTATAAAAATGAGAGCAACGCTATACTGGAAACATTTTCGAAATAAGTACTTCTTGCTGAGAATTGGTATCCAGCAACTGGATTCTGGTACCTCGCTAAGGAATATCTTAGGGGTACAGATAGCAAGCCGTCCGTCGTCCAAGTTTAGGGGTAAATCCAGTTCCCACCGGGCATCCAGTTTTATATCTCGCACCGTTTTGAGATAATCCGGCATGAACTGACATTTAGGGACGTACTCACAAATTACTGAGGAACGCAATAAAATAAAGAGTGGAACTGTAAGCTAAAAATCCGTTGAAAGGTTTCTTCCTCTCGAAACAAAACTGTGAGTTTCTATTTTAGGAGAAGAAATGAGATAAAATCAAACTGGATGGCGTCCCCAACGATTGCCACTTTTATTTCCAAAAGTTATGAGTCAGTGATCGCTAGAATTATCGACTGTTTCACGACATCAAAACTTCATTGTCAGATCATTTATCGAGTATTTACCCTTTCGCTCCCAAGATCTCACTCGTAATTCTCTCTACTGTCTGCCATACAATTCTTATGATGTTAGTTCGGAGAATTTGGTATTGAATCAACTTATAATCCCCTAATTTATATCTTTCTTTATTCTCGTCACTTGTGTACTTGTTATTGTAAGGATATTGCGAGGAGAAATTCTATCTTGGTCATTCGTGGAGTTAAAGGGTTAGGGCTAGTTAAAATTTTAGGATTTTATCCAATAACACGATAACATGGCGATTTCGAACTTCTCACAGAAGGGCTGTGAACTTGTCTTTGGTCGGAAGATGACAATTAGTGAGGCTTCTTGCTGATATCATTGTTCGATCACGATACTAAAACGTCACCCTACTTGAAGCTTTAATAGATTAAAAGGCAATCAAGGCCTTTTTGGAAATTTGCTGATATAAATCTAAATTGTTTAAAGAGACTTTAATAGCAAAAAAAATATATATATATGCAGATAATTTGTTGCGAAAGCCTCTAAAGAAGGTCACGATATTGATACATTGAACTTGGCCTAACGGTTCTCTCATTTAAAATATAGGTTTAGATAAATCATTATTATCATTTAAAAAAAAACACTGTGCGTAGTATATGAAAAAGGAAAATGCAAAGATAAATTTGCTCGTCAGTTCTTTCTATCCGGCTTCGGTAAAGTACATATTATGCGCTTCAAGTTAGATTGTTAATGTGCAAACAACAACTGACGTCGATCTTAAGACGAATTCGTTTTTCAAAAGCAACAATGAAAGAAAAACAACATAACAAATTAATAATAGAGAAAGAAATGACAGGCAATCATCCCTTCCAAGGGCCTCTCTTCGGCTGATTACCCAGATGGTGGAGTAAGCCTTACTCAATTTCAAACAAGAGGTTATAAGAAAGTGCGGTGATAGTCTTGTACTCTAAACAAGCCAAATTTAAGTAAGTTTAATTTTTTCCCCATCATTTAGCCTCAACATCAGTGGCTCCTACCTCATTAGTAGAAACTGAGTCACCATCACCATCTCCAACACAGGCCGCGATGTCACAATCTCAGTCATCCGCAGTGTCACAGGTCATCCCATCATCAGTTCCAGAGCCCGCAACACCTTCGATGTCACAACCCATGTCACCCCAAGCAGCCACATCCATAATGTCACAAGTGATGTCAGAGTCTATGGTCACATCCACTTTAGAAATTATGTCACCATCTCCGTTACAAACCCCGTCACCAACCACGTCACCAACAACATCAGCAACCACGTCACCAACAACATCAGCAACCACGTCACCAACAGCGTCACCAACCATGTCACAACCAAAAGAGCCCCCAACATCACCAACGTCAACTTCTGGAAAGCCAGGAAAAGAGGGAGGCAAAGATGAGGGGAAGGGTGTTGAGGAAATTGGTAAGTATCCTGCCAGTCCTAGATACTTCGGTACTTCATGTCTCTTTGGCAAAGATAGATATTAGTTTCACCATAATTTAGCTGGATCAGTGTCAGTATCTGAGCAACTGCGCACCTACCCCTCCCCTAGCCCAACATGAACCCTCAATTGTTATCAGTTGACTGTTATTGGATTAGGGGAGGGGTAGGTACGCATTTAGTTCATGTTAACAGGATTGAATATCAGTTATGATCAGTAAGGAGGGGTTGGTAATCTAAACTTCACAGTTTCAGCTCAGGGTTAGAAAATTATTTTCGTCTTCACAGATCGTAAAGTGATTGTGATTCTGCTGGCCGTAGCTATTGCCGTGGTGTTTCTGGGCATGATGTGCATAACTGTAGCTGTTTGCTGTGTACTCCGGAAGTAAGTCGTTGCAATGTTCTTAGTTATAGCAAATACGTTCTTAAACTACCAAAAAACTGGTTCAGTTCCATAGGTAGGACCTTCTGGTTTTGTTGTATTTGGGGGGATGACAAGTTGTTCCATTAGGAAGAATTTTTAGCTTTTATCGGCAAGGCTTAAGAGACGGGTAGGGGTATGGCACTCGCGTCACACACGATAGGCATCTTAGGGTGTATCAAGTTGCTTTATTATTACAAGTTTTGTATGTTTTTATGAAAAGCGTTTTTTTTTATAATTAGGGGCGGTACTTCGAAAAAGTTTCTTTCCTTGGACACAACCACTGCAGATTCTGAGGACTGTCAGTTTTATGCAATAAATTTGATGGCGCTTCGATTAGTTTTTTCATGAGAAAAGGGGCAAGTTCTTCTGAGATAGTTTACTTCGAAAAGTGATGGAACATAGAATCATCCCATCATTCCAGAGGCCAAAGAATGTTCGCGATAAGACTGGACTTCTTATTCTGAATTCTCTAAAGGTGCCACTTCAGATAAAGACCTCTAGGCCCCAAGAGGATCAAGTGAAACATCTTTAAGAATCCTTTCAATTACATGACGTAACACACACTTGCCCCTCTTCTTTTTTACAGGATCAAATGAATCCCAGGATGTCATGGAGGAACATGCGACAAGGCTTCAACAGAGAAGGGCTGAAGTGACTGATCAATCGTTTCCTTTGTTAAATTCTTTTCTCTTCAAACTATGACACCTATGCTTTCTTTTTACTATCGCTTTAAACGAACATTAAATGTTCCAAAGAGACAAGTCTAGCGAGCTCTGACCATGAGATCACGCATCACTTTTCGATTTAATCCTTTTACCACTTTGGGGAAAATGAAACCACCTGGATTGCTTGGTCCCCAGTGCCCCCGTTTTAAGGAGCACTAACGGAGAGGACAAAAATTAGTGGAGGTTTTAGTGGATGTTTACAATAAGTCAGCTCGTTGGTTGATTTATAGTCACTTACAACAGTTCAGATTTTTTTTAGTGCCTTAGATTAAGTATCTTTGATTTCTTAAAAGTATTTCTGTTACATAGAAATTGGTAAAACAAAAGTTTTTTTAAATGATTTTATGAAGTATCTAACATAACACTGTATAGCAATAGGTTAACTTTAGGTCACAAAATCATAGGATAAATAGAGTAACCTTTCCAGTAAACCCCCCCCCCTCTCATATACCTCTTTTTCTATAAAAACTCCCTTCCCCCTCCCCCCTTATCACAAACTCTAAAATGTCACATTGATGGCCATCTGTTTGAGCAAGGTGGCTTTATAGTACAACATATAACTGTAGTCTTAAGTCTGTATTGGCTTTCTTTGTAAGTAACGTCGGTATTTCACCAAAGGCACGTTGTTTCTTTGCACAATAATCATTGAATCTGGCTGACAATTCAAAAGAATAACAACTACCCTGCGAGGGCCCTCAGTAAGTTTCACGCAAGCCCCCCTCCAAAATAGAACCCTGTCTGCAAGGGTAAGGAAACTAATTGCTAAGAGCACCAAAAGAGGAAGGAAGTTGGGGGCTTACTAGGATGTGTCTTATAGTGTTATCGTTTTCAGGAACAACAGTAGCCTTTATGTGATCGTTACTGATTCAGTAAGTTGTAAATTCCGTCGACCTATTTGAATAAATTTGATATTAATGCTTCCAGGCTTATAATAAAAAGAACTGTCTCTCAGAATAGAGTGTCAAGCGCACAAGTGAACGAACATCAGCGAAAAATGAAAGAAAACGACTACTGAAGCACGGTAAAAAAAACTCACGATCGACGATTGATCGACAAAAACACGATCGATAACTGAACGTAGGAACGAAGAACAAACGACGGATGGCTGATTGCCCAGTAAAACGAAAATGATCGACGTCTGGGGCAAATTACACAATAATTGTTCATTGCATTAGAGGCAGCTTTACTGCGTTATTCCTGAGACCTCGGGAACATTGTAAATTTTCGAACCGCAGTGTCACGCAGTGTTATAAAATTTTATTTAAACAGGATCATGTGACCTTCAGAGAAGTTCATCTAACAACTGGGATAAAGTTTGATGGTTACCTTTGAGCATGAACTTTTAAAACTCGTCGTAACCTTACGACATTGAGAACTACACTTTGAGAAATCAGTTGTATTAGCTGAATCGTATCTACATGCACTTTTGTACATCCCACTCAGTTTTCCCCCTGAGATAGAGTAAGAGCGGACGGGGAGGGAAGGGTGGGGATGAGACACGATCAAATCCGTCTTCGATGTCAATTAGCAAGAAGTTTTAACACGATTTGTACGCCTTTGGAATCGTGTTTCTTCAGTTTTGAAACCCGAGGTTGTAGATGTGACTTGACTGTATCTGAAACTCCAGGGACGGAACTCTCAAGTAAACTGCAAGAAAAAGAATCAATGTCTAGAAACTGAATTCAAAATAGTTTTAAAGTACTAGATAATAGGGTGCAAAACTCAAGTAGCAGCCGGTTTAAAGTTGTCACGCAACACATTTCTTAGATGGATTGCGTGACAAACGACAAGCCTCACCTTGCGACCACAAAAGCCCCTCTATTCACCTTACACCAGTCGAGCAACATCCGGGGATCAGTGTTATCAAGCAGCAGTTTACTGAACAACACTTCATCTATATGGCAAGAAAGACATCATTAATTTATTTTGATTTTGTAAAAGCAATAAATCATCTTAGGAGAAACTGTAACTTTCAAGAAAATGAAAAAGGAAAAGGATAAAACTGTGGAAAAACAGAAAAAACAGAGGGAGAAACGCAAATTGTAACACGTAGAAAACAAATAGGATGGAATGACAGATGGGTAAAGGAACATGCTAAGATCAGGGTTTTCATTAACCCTTTAACCCTCAAGACTTTATTTATTTAATGGATTCGTACAAGTACAAGTACAAGTACAAGTACAGGTGCATAACAGTAGGACATAAGTCCCCTACTGGGTTAATACACCCACACCCAGCCCCATAAAAAAATATCCCGGAAAGAAATACCCCGAAAAAAGATCCCTTCCCTGATCCGACTAAACTACAAGAGTGACATGCATCTAATTTCTCCTCACAATATCAACCCTAAATCAAACATTACGATCCCAAGAATACAGGAAATGACCACCAACTAAAGCAGCTCTTGATTGCCAAACAAATGCTCCTAATCAGCTCATTGGGAAATGTATACAGTATAGTGTGAAGAATATTCATACTAATGTTGGGTTAAGAATTGTAATAGCAGAAGAACAGAGTAGAGTAACAGGACAATAATCCCCACATCCGAATGAAATATAGCTAAGGCCAGTAATTGCTTAGAATTCTGCGTATTGGCGGAGTATTCTCGGTTCTCCGATTCAAATTTGACATCCTTTAAAACGTGTACAAAAGAATGGCTGTGCCTTGTAAGAGAACGGACGTGTAAGAATCACGGGGTGAGTGATTGAATAAACGACCCAAAACGAAGACAGTCGTGAAAAGTCGAAAAACCTTTCAGGTGCATTTGTACAGTGCGAAACTCATGTCGGGGGTACCTCTCTACCTCTATTAGCAATGATAGCTTAGTTTCCCGAACAAGTCACAAATCACAAGTCTTTAAACACAACCGATTTATTCCCATATTTCTTATCAAACTCACGATGACAACGAATACACCTTTAAGCACGAATCTGTCAATCTCCAACACACATACCAACACTTTTACCTTTGTTTTCAGACTGTAGTCTTCCCTTGTCCTGGTTAATAAGCCTCTTCAACGCGAAATGACCAGCAGCACTCTTCACAACATGATCCTTTGCACGGAAGACAATTGCATGTCACAAGTAAACATTGTGTTTCAAATACTGAAAGAATTCACCAGCATCCATAGAAAAGAGTGATCTCCCACAAGGAGGCACCAGAATAGATTGTGACAAACATATAAAAAACCAGAAAGTAAATAAATGATGAAACTCATAGATTCTTCTTACTTCGTCTTCAGTTGAAGGATCAAGATCTCTGTTAGCTAAGTTCACAATGGCCATCATAGCACGCTCCACATCTCCTTGAAAATGAAAAAAAAATTAAATAGTTAATATGTCATCAATTTAATTTAGAACTAAGGTAATACCAATTTGATAGTTTCTAAAATCGGACACTAGCGTCCAAAATTATGAAAAAAAAGTTTGGCTATTACACCAGAAGGGGCTAAGATTCAATGAAAATTTCATGGTGAAATGGTTATTTCTCCAGTTGCAAGTAGATTGTGTTTGAGCAAAGATAGGTTTGACTAGACAGCTTGACTGGTGCAAGCCAGGAAATTATTTGGAGTCTTAGCTAACCTCTTAAAAACAGAAAAAATTTAAATTGAAACTATCAGGAAAACCCACCAGCACATTGAAGAAGAGCAGCCAGAACAAGTTGGCAACCTCCTTTATCAAATAACAACTCTTCTGCAATTTTCTCTATCAGCTCTAACAGTGCTGGTGAAATTCCTTCCAAGAGTTCATTTTGCCTCTGATGTGAATCTTTTTTGCTGAAATAATGAAAAATAATGAAAAAAAAAAAAATGTATGAGGGAAACAAATAACTGGTCAAAGCCTGACTGATAACCTGAAAAAGTGGATAAATCTGATGAAAACATTCAAAGTTTACATATATATGCCTACAACTGCTTGTTAACAAATAAAAAAAATATCTGGTACAAACTCTCTTCAGTACCAAACAGAAATGAATGGATTTATGTTGTGTTCAGAGGATATCAGCAAGAATAAGAAACTCTTGTTCATAACAAGTCAGACTAAGTGTGGATTTTTATTATCAAGACTTGGACTATTACTGCCAGGTCAGAAATAATCGAAGGCAAAACTTGTGGTACTACACCTGGTGGAGTTTCCATCCCCTTTCTTAAGCAACTCCACAGTGGTGGGATGGAAATGGCTGGGGCTCCGTGGACACAGCAGATACATTAACACTTTCCTACCATAAGTGTCCACAGCTAACTCCTGAAGAGATGGTTGAATTTCCTGCCAAGCAAGAAAAACAAAAATATACCATTAAGTCATGATTTTTATTGTCCAGAACTGTTCACATTTAGGTCATTTTAGTTGTTAGACTTCTTGATTATATAAATTTTGTGCTCTCAAAGTCTCCAGTCTTAATTCTAACCAATGCCAATGCATTTCTTTGAAGGCTAGTGCTGAGAGGTGAATGCTCAATCCAAACAATCACATCATTTCCATTAACCTATCTGTTTAGAGACAAAATATAACCTTTTTTAACACTTTTCACACACCTGAGTCACTACCTGTTTGTCAAAACTGTATGCTAAACTAAAAAATCAGTCACATACATAACCTTGGAGGAAAAAACAGTTTTAATCTCACCGAGAACATAATCTTCTTGACAAGCACTGTGTCATCAACACAGTCAAATAATGCTAACAGTACAAGATGTCCAAATTCTTCCTGTAAATTAAACAGCAACAATCAATATTCAAGTAAGTTTACCATAAATGTAGAATTGTTCTCATGATCAACTGTTCCCACCATATCTTTAAGTCAAATATAGTGACACAACAACACTTCTCATTGCATATATTTATGTTTACACCTCTGAAATCCAAGAGAGACACACAATGGCTGGATAGTATGTTAGACATGGGATGATTAGTAACACTGTGTTGTAATTGAATTTGAGCCATTGTGTAAGAAGTGAAATAACTTGTCAAAGATGTTAGGGAACAAAGCAAATGTAAGATATTGCTTGCTGACCAATCTTTGATATTAGGGAATCAACTTAAGACCATAAGGGACTGACCTAAGATTTTGGCAGACTAACTCATAAGAAGTACACCATGAGGAAAATTTAAGACCTCCAGATGCATTCATTCAATATTCACATCACAGCATAATACAACTCTTACTTTGCAGATCTTTACATAATAACTTTTGAAGGACTTGACAAGTACTTTACGATCCTTGAAAGAGATACAAGAACAACAAAAAAAATGAAATAATGTCAAAAGTAATTCTTAACAACTCACTTTATTTCAGGTCTGAAAAACTCAAGTTAAATTTACTATGTAACATGTCATACTTAGAACTCAACCTCTCAGGTATGCTCCTCAGGTTTTTTATAAAGTCAAATAGCTTAATCAAATTATTTTGTTGCTGGTAAACAAGATATTTCAAAAATTAAAGTTACCAGATTTCAACATAAATAAACAACAGAATCTAGACTTACCTTTACAGTCCCATACCACAAACAATGCATACCAACTCTGGCTCCATCATGAGTATGAAGAATGAGAACAACAGAATCTTTGATTAGCTCTATCATTTCCTACAGAAAAGATACAACTATGTATAAGAAGTGAGGCTTCACAATGTACTGGTACGAAAAGAGGATGAAGTACGTACTGATCTTGCATTTTCATCAGCATATGTGAGGTATTCAAGAAGGACTCTGTGAATTATACTATGACCAATGACAGATCTATGGAAAAAAGTAATACAAAATAAATTAATATTATGCTGTTTATCTCTATCCACAGGCAATACAAATCGTATTAAGATATCATTTTCAACTTTGACAGATAATCTTGCAGATTTTCATCCTGTGTTCAAATATATTTACATGAAAATTAAGCAAAACACCAGCTGTTACTTGATGGTACAATGCTTGACATAATCAGAGAGAAAAAAGAAATTTTGCATTAAATCCAGTCAAGTAGAAGTTGGATTTAACCTCTTTGTTTTCGTGCTGTATGTAAAAAGTTTAATACTTAATCTGGCCTGGGTGTACTAAGTCCTTAACCCTTTAACTCCCATGAGTGATCAAGACAGAATTTCTCTTTACAATATCACCACAACATCAAGCACTCAAGTGATGAGAATAAAGAAAAGCATCAACTGGGGGATTATAAATTGACCCAATACCAAGTTCTCACAAATAATATTATAAGATTTCTAAGCCAGCAACAAGGAGTCAGAATTGCTAATGAGATCTAAGTTGTCAAGGGTTCAAGGTTATTAAAGATATTTTCATCTTTAAACTTTACCTGTCTATTAGAGGCAGCAAGGCATCTTTCATGTACTTGAGGATTCCAGTTTTCCTTGCTGGATCTGATTGCAAAACTTTTTCCAAAGAATTTAGCTCTGATGACTAGAAAGGCAGATGAAAGTTGAGGCAAGCACAACTACATGATGGTAATTTACTCAAAATTAACTATAAGAATCTGGAGATAACAAAAGATCACTTGGATGGAATTATTTTTTCATCTTTTTACTAATTTTTTTAATGCTAGATTACATGTACCTTGAAAAAAGCAAAGTCAGCTCCATAGAATTCCTGTATAAGATGGGCTTTTTGGGCAGAGTTTGCATAATCACTGTATATAGTTTCTAGAATAGATGATGCCTCCTAAAAATTGATAAAAATTGTCTAAGTTAGCCATACATAGATATAAATATTGATAAATCAAGCTTATGTCATAGAGAGCCTTATCAGTATCATCATTAAAATATTAATCCCACCTTGTGTCTGATAAGTTTGCGAACTTGCCCATAAAAGCACTTGATAATAACATCCCGCTGTTTCTTTGTTCTGATTGAAAAGACCAAAATTTCCCATTATCTTAAATAATAAATTTTTCTCTTCATTTAATTTACTTATAAAACAAGTAAGTTCTAAAGATATTGAAAATGAGATGTTACACTGATTAAAACACCCTCAACAGTTTCCTTTTATGTACTTAAATCCATTAAGTCCCAGAAGTAATTCATATGAAACTTCTCCCTATGATACAAATACATCAATCAACAAAGGGACAATGACAGTACTCAAAATTATCTACTTGAAGTTAAGTTGTCATCTAGATCTAAAATCAAATTCTCATAACTGATTTACTAGGAAATGTGTAGCAGCTGAAGGGGATAATTGACCCTTTAACTCCCATGAAAGATCAAGACAGAATTTCTCCATACAATATCAATACAATATCAAACAGATAAGTGATGAGAATAAAGAAAAATATCAATTTGCAAATAATTAGTTGATCCAACACTAAATTTTCTGAGCTAAAGTTATAAGCATTGTATAGTTGACAGTAAGGAGAATTACAAATTTTATCTGGGAGTTAAAGGGTTAATAATCAGATCTTGGAAGTTAAAGAGTTAATCATATAAAAGGGTATGAATGTTGAGAGTTAATCATTTCAAGCCACAAAAACCAGTGTCTTTTCCAATAGAATCTATCAAAGGTAGTGTCTATGATTGTGGACCGTGGAAAACATTTGCTTATTAAAATTAGGGATTTCTCAAAATGATGGAACAGAAATCAGACAACAACACTGTTTTACTTTCAGTTTACTGTCTATATTCAGACTGAACTAAGAATATGAAAATGAAAAACCTCTGTCCAGTTAGCTAAATTACACCATTAACAAAAGTGCCAAGTTCAGTTAAAGAATGCTGATAAGGTACTTACCCATAAATTAACAATTTTTTGATGAAGAACTTGGAATATTTTGACTTGATAAGTTCTCCAAAATCACCTTTAACACAAAAATTCAGACATGACTTGAGCTGGTTATGAAATCATTTTTGATTGAAACAAATTTTTAGTTTTAATATTTTTCCAAGAAAATGAATTACCTTTAAATTGCTCAAACAACTTCTGTCTTTGCTCTACAGTACCAAACTTAACACAAGCCTGAATCACACGCCCTGTGTCATGTTTGAAAATTACCTGGAATTACAGTTAAGTAGAGAGAGGGGAAAATAAATTACTAAACATATTTTGAAATGAAATTGGAAAGATGTAAATAACTTGCTTAGAGTTTAATTCATCTCTAAATTCTTGTACTCACATCATGAGTATGACCAGCAATTAGACTCAGTATCTTCTCAACCAATTCTGCCTTCTCTGCCTTAGAGCACTTTTTTCTGAAAAACAGATAAAATAAAAAAATATCAATCACTGTGGCATCAATTTTTCCTCCTAATAAGTATAATAGTTGAGGTGAGAAAAGTCATAAAAGACATCTGGATCCACATTTTATTTTTTAAGAGTTGAATTCATACTAGGACCAGTGCACAACCCTATTTCACTAGGAAAAATTGGAATGGAAATTTGCTGCATTATATTTGCAGCCTTACAACTTTCAAGCTAACACACCTTCTAATAGTCTCATAGAGTTTTTTAAGACCATGAACCAGATCATAGTTTTCATCTTGTTGGCGGCGAAAGTCTTTTCTTTCTTTTTTCTTCATTTGCCAGATATTGGGCTTCTCATCAGATTCTACAAGATTAAGTGGAGACATTCAAGTTTACAATTTATTGAAAACATACTTTGTGAACTCAAGTACATGTAATAGACTTCCACAAGGAGCTTCCACTATTGGCAGTCAGCTCCTAAATGGAGACTGTTCCCATGGCTGGTAAATCCTGGCAACTCAGCCATATGCCTCCACACAGGAAAGGGAAACAGACACCTGTCACACTGAATAAACAGTCGAAAAAGGGAGGGAAGGGGTGGAGAAAACTGCCTGAATGATAAACTGCCACTCCAAACAATACTGAAAGTTTGCACTCAAAGCACATGCAAGAAACTCTCAAACAAAGAGCACATAGAATTCCCTTGCATGTGCATATAAAAAAACCATGGACTTCCAGAGAGTGCTAAAGCTCTTTGTTGTTAACTCTGTCAAAGTGCATTTCACTGTGTGAAAAAGAAGAAGACAGTACCAAAAGAGAAGAACAACTTCATGACTCTCATTTTAATATTCTCATGCTGACATTGCCTCAGAAGAGAAATCAAGCTGCACAGTCTACCTGACAGCACTACATTATAAAGTTCAGAATACAGTTCAAAATGACTAAAATGAAACACACATGATTCCCTGTTACTCTGAGTTTCCTGCTTATGCACTTTCATTAAATCTGTCTGATGAGTGCGTAAGCACGAAACTCAGAGTAACAGGGAATCATGCGTGTTTCATTTTAGTCACTTGAACTGTATTTCACTCTACACTCATGTGTATTGAGCACTTTCCAACAGTATTTACTACTATTTCCCACAATTAAAGTTCAGAATATATATTCTCCATACTGTTCTCTCTACACTTCCTAAGGTTTTGACAAGGAGAATAATTCTAATTTATCTTACAATCAAGAGCTACTTCAGTTGGTGATCATTTCCTTTATTCTCGTGACCTAATTGTTTGATTCAGAAGTGATATCAAAAGGAGAAATAAGATACTGATACCAGTTACTCTTAGGGAGTTCAAGGGTTAATTTACAGAATACAGAGAATCACGACACGATATACTCACCATTCTTATTTTCCCAAGAACTGGAAAAATTTTTCTTTTTCCCGAAGTCAGATCCCTTACCATCACTAAACTTTCGTTTCATGGCTTTATCACCAACAAAGTTTCCTTTCACATAACTGTTCCGTGATCCTTTGCCATTAACTGAAAAACGTTTATCATTGTTGTCATATCGTCTATATCCTTTTTTACCATCTTGACTTCCTATTTCACCCTTCCACTTCTTTCTGTAACCATCTGCATTTGTGTCGTTTGCTTTCCGTTTTTGTCCAGGAGAATTCTCTCCCCTAAAATCCTTGGAAAACTTTTTTGGCTTAAATTTCCGTTTAGCATCATCACCCTTCCCTTTGAACTTCTTCTTGAAGTTCCTTGACCTGGTGAAATAAAAGTAAAGAGAGTGAGTCAATTGTAACGGAAAAAAATGTTCACTTGTCTTTTCGCAGAGCGTTTTGCACAGCGTTCATTTGAAACAGACGAGGAAAAAAGTCCTCAATACAAAGAGTGTCCCCCTGGGTAAAACAAAAAACAACAGCCTTTTAACTCTCGTGATATTTTTTTAATCTAGGAGTATTATACAGAGAACAAAAAACAACTGTACTCCGAGTTTTTAAGGAAAAATTTTCCACACAATACCTCTTCTGATTTTCAGCGTCCGCCATTTTAAAACACACACGTGCAAATATTAGAGCCAACTGTGACTTGGTCAGCGTAATGTTTTTGGTTCCCAGTCTACCATTTTTTTTTGGTTTAGTTCCAATAATATTTCCTTGACTGATATAAATATGCGCTCTGCCCATCGCCTTCGACTACTTCGTGCAGCGCTCTCGCCTATCAATCATATTCGCCAAATACACCTGTCGAACATGTCGTCGAAGCCAGTGCGCGCCCTCATCATGGGCCCTCCAGGATCAGGTAAAGGAACTGTATCTGAACGCATTGTAAGTACTTTTAAGGTAACACATTTATCGAGTGGAGATGTGCTCCGATCCCAAATTAAAGAAGGTACAGAAGTTGGCTTGAAAGCAAAAGCGATCGTGGAAAAAGGAGGACTTGTACCTGATGAAGTCATGATAGAACTGATAATGGCCAAGATGAAGGAGTTATCTGGAGGAAGCTGGCTTTTAGATGGTAGGTACATGTCAAGGCAGTTTTCAGGATTTTACAATTTCAGGATATGTCCTTGGTGCAAACATCTCCTCAGCTGATCTGTACAAAATTGATTCGAAATGATATACTTATAATGCAAATTGCGTACACAGTTTTAATAGAAAATTAATTTTGATTGGATGTATTTTTAGAGTCATAAGCTAATAAAAACTATACAGTATCCAAAGCTCTCTTTGATTTGTATGAAATTTGAAGTGATAAACAGATGCCAAAAACAGTGAGGTTTCTTATCTGAAGCGTGGAAAAGACGTCCATTTTGTGAGGAATGCAAGGAGAGGGTCGTTTCTGTTCAGAAGAAAAACTATTTCCACACAATGCATGGATCACTTTTTCCTCAATGTGTCTTGTCATGGGAAAGGCCCTTTGATATATTTGTTTCCTGCAACTTGACTTTCAAATTTCTTGCTTTAAATGAAAACAGTGCCTTCCAAAGGTAACTAGTTTTGCCACATTGGCATTCACTGTTGGTTAAACACTTACCTGTGTATTCTACATAATTTGTGACTTTGTTTCATTAGAAAAGAGGCTTAGAGGATCAGACTATAGCCTATAATCTTTTAACATACGGGTATAAGCAGGAATATGGGCAGAGGACAGAAAACCCAGGCATAAAGGGCGAGGTCTCTTGAGAATGATCCTGGTGTGTATTTACTACTCTTCTACCTACACCTCTATTTTTAGGTTTTCCAAGAACTGTTGTACAGGCAGAGAAGCTGGGCGAGAAACAAGAGCTTGATGTTGTTATAAACTTAGATGTTCCATTTGAAACCATAATTGATAGAATTTCAGTAAGTTTTCTTTTTCTATTTCTGAAACATCAATTTGTACCATGTTGAGTCACATTAGGTGGTCTCTCATGATCCATAACAAGAGATAATCTAATGAAAATTTCAAAATGGTTAGAGTGATAATAGCTAGTAGTTACTCTGCAGATCAATTTGAGTAATGTGAAGTCAAATAAGTCCAAAAGAAAATAATGTATAGTTAATTAAAAAAAGCAGCCTTTTGTGGCACTAAACAAGTTAGAACAGTGGTAAACCAAGTACTGTTGTGCTGGTATTTCAGCGCTGTTGTCACTAATGTGTGAATAAAAGAAAGATAATTATGTCTTGAAATGAAATATGAAATATGTTTACTTTTCACTTCCTAGAAACGTTGGATACATCCAGGGAGTGGGAAGACTTACAACTTAGATTTCAACCCTCCTAAAGTACCAGTACGTGAGCAGTATGAAGTATTTTATGACTGCAGTTAATCTTTACAATTTGTGATGATTAGCAACTTTTATGAAGATTAACATCTGGGTGTTTAAGCATAGGAAGGGTTTTAATCATGAAATGTTTCTGTTATTGAAGACATTTGAATAACATTAAGTGACACTGTGATTTGATAACAATCCAGTTGTATTGTTCTTCTGAATATTTACAATTATGTGATTTAATTAAGTAATATAGGACTGTTTACCCCAGGTGCTGGTGTTTATTTTAGGAAAAGTCTTTTCAATCTCTCAGCTCTTAGTTACAACAAGGAGATAGGGTCAAAAGGAAAAGGTGACTTTTTGGTAGATGCAAGACAAATTGTTCAAAGTTGATCTTCACTGTATTAGCTGTAGTTATGGAGGAGGATAGTAATTGCTTAGGGTTGAAGTTCTTATAGGTTCCCTGGGGTGGTCTCTTAACAATAATATCAAGGTGACAAGAAGGTAAATGCAAGACCTAGACAGACCGTGAACTGTCTGCTTTCCAACCTTCTCAAGATGATGTCTGCAAGTAGTACTAACGTTAAGACAGCAAGATTGCTTTGCTGAGAAAAAAATCAAGGCAGTGAGGTTTTTAAGTTATGTGTTGTGTTGTTTTAAAATTAGCAATTAAATTTCTCTTTAGGGAAAAGATGATGACACAGGTGAGGATCTTGTTCAAAGAGATGATGATAAGGTTTGTTATCTGGCTTACTGTGAAAGTTTTGATGTATTTTTGAAATCAAAAGCCCTTTAATTAATCAGGAAGTGTTCTTAAAAACAACGGCATGTAAAAGAGAAAGAAAGGATTGAAAAAAAAACACTAACTTAATGAAATTATTAAAATTTGTATGATGCTGGCATTTTTCCTCTAGCCTGAGACTGTGCGACAGAGATTAAAACAGTATGAGGAAATGACAAAGCCACTTATTGATTTTTATACGTAAGTACAAACAAGTACAGTATGTTGAACCATTTTGTGTGATTTAGTCTTCACAGAAATTTCATGTTTTATGATATTTCACACTTTTTATATGCTGTTTTGTTTACAGGAAACAAGGAATACTTGAATCATTTTCTGGAACAGAAACAAATGTAATATGGCCCAAAGTCAAAGATTATCTTACTGCAAATTTCTTCAAACTATAAGAAATTGTTTGGGTGCGACATACTTCGCAACTGTCTGCTTTATATAATTATTCACAAGTTGTTTACTAAGTATTTTTCTCAGGTTCTTTGAATATTTTTACATACTCACTGATCATTTGGCAAATAATTGTCAGAAATCATGCTTTGTGTAGAAAGCCTTCAATTCTTGAAGGTTGGTGGAGATTTCCCAGTTCCATATGGATTTAAACCACAAACAGTTGTCTTGTTTCTTTTTCTGGTATTTAGTGATTTTTATAGGTTATCTAGTCATAAAAAAATTCAGATCCAAATCTTTGCAAATGAGAAATTTCAAATTTTCCAATGTCAAAAGCACGTGTCAAAAAAACAAAAATCAATGACTCTATCAAATTGCAAGTTTTATGCTATTATAAAAGCCAGAGGAAATAATCAAAGGGGAAAGAGTCATGTAATTCAGGCTATTATTGTGGGCTTTAGGTTTTGCTATTCATGTAATTAATAAGGATTAAAAATCCCAAATAAAATGGGAAGTGAAAATAACTTGTTGGAAGTAAAAATTTTTCTTACTGATTGACATACTTTCCTTAAATTTTAGTTCCAAGAACTTATAGAAACACAAGTAAATTGTTTTTCTTAGATCTTAAATCATTTCTCTTTAGTTGGAAAATTTACTGAAGATATATCAGGGAATTATTAATTCAAGTATAGTTAGGTTGTATCAATTGTGAGGGAAATAAGTCCAAAAGAAAATAATGTGTAATTAAGGAAAACAAAAAAGCAACCTTTTGTTTTTTGTGGCACTTTATAAAGACGAGTGGTAAACCATGTGCAGTTGTGTTAGTAGTTCAGCATTGTAGTCTATCATGCGAATGGTAGATTGTCAATAAAAGAATAAAAATTGTCTCGTTGTGAGTGTATTGAAGATGATGGCATTACATGTACAGTGTGACATTATGTAACACTTTCTCCAGGGTTGCATGAGGGGTACTAGGTAGAATTCATGTGGTGATCTGTATTTTTCCAATGTAATAACGGTAACAAAAGTAATAATAATACAAATAATAATGATGATGATAAAAATGACATGTAATAATTGATAGTGTAAGGTTTCTTTTAAGATATTTTAACATTTTAAAATACTTTTTAAATTTAAGTATTATTATAAAATAAGACTCCGTATTTAAAATTCTGAAGTCATACGAATATTTATGCCCGAAAAGTGATCAATTGCTTTGAAATAATTTTTTTTCTCAAGCAAAAAGATCGCTCAAATTGCGACTGTTGCTCAAAAATGCTACTGACCCGTAAGATCATTCTCATCTTATACGCGAGATATAGATCACATCTTGAAACGCAATTCTCTCCGGTGGTAAACCCTTCAGCAAAAATTTACCCTGAGCCGGAAGAAACTCGAAACCCTAATAAGCGTGAAAATAAAATTTGAATATGAACGCATGCAACAAAGAACATTATATTTATTAAATTGGGCAAACGCCTTTTTTCAAATAGTAAGTTAAATAAATCAAAGTGGCAACAAATATATATATAAAAACAGAGAAAGAAACTATATCTTAATTTTAACACGTTTGTCAAGTATTCAGTTGCGTTTCTCTGATCATTTTGATAAACAGCACCTATCATCCTCCATGTTGATTGTAATTACAGGTCTAGTGCCCTTAGCGAAAGTGTAAACTTCTTTTCATATTATTTCAAATAATTATTGAGCGATCGGTTTTTGACGAAGGGTCTATCAGAGGATAAAATTATCATTTCTGTTATCGCTGTCTTAGCGGACTATTAAATTTCCATCTTCATCCTTACTTTGAAATTTAAGATATTTTTTTTATCAGGAACTTAACAACCGTTCGTCCCTTTCGAAGCCTGAAGTCAGTCATTTAATACTTCTGCCTCTTTGGCGGCCAGTTTTCCGGACAATTTTGATACCATTCGAAAATTTTAAGTCTCTCGCTGCGTGGAGAGAAGCAGAGGACTACACTTCGAAAAAAAAGTTATCAAAATACTTGCTCCCTTTTCATAAATTATTGATTACAAGTCCAGTATGAAAATAACATTTATCTCTTCTTTTTATATTTTACCCCAATCTTTTAAAATAACCAGTTGGCGTGACACCATTTGTAACCAGGGGAGACAAGTTTACATTAGTTCGTCTTTCTTCACTCCTGTTTATTTGTTTATTTCTTAGCCGAAGAATACAAAACCCACAACTGTGCAGGAGTTTTAATCTCACTGTCGCATTTAAATTTTACTGAAATAAAAGGAAGAAACACATTTACACCTTATCTCGAACTTTTCGACTACGAATTATTCAATTACGACAAAAAAAATTGATGGCGCCAGAACTCTGCATGAAAAAGATTAACGAATAGAATTTCAGCTTGAGAGAGGTGCTAATCAGAATCCCGTAATCAGTTCGGCGGTTGAAAAAGGTGAATCGATTAAACCAGAACGGGCCATTGAAAGGTAAGTTCAATTCAGCGTTACTTCATTCGATGAATGTCGTGTTTTCACGTATGGATTTCAACTGCATCGCAGCATAGTTAAATCTCCTTGGTTTAAATGATACGCGATAATAATATCACTCTCCTAACCATGCTATAATCTGTTTACTGTTTCACGAATTTCAATCATCTGGTACGTGGAGTAAACTTCGGCTGATTTTTCGCCGTATAAAGCTCCATTAATTCGATATGTCATAGGCTCCTGGATGTGTTTATTTAAAAGCGTCTTTACAAGAAAAGATCATGGAAAACTTTGGTATACATTGATATGCGATTTGATCTTATGCTTTGATTGGAGTTTTCTCCGTATGTATTAAAGTGTCATTTTGAATAAAGATCGTTAAAAAACTTTAGCCGGAGTTGACAAGTTCTTTCGACTTATGTTTCACATTGATACGTACAGGAATCCGAACATCGGATTCAAGAAGCTTCAAAACGTTCAAAATGAAATATTTATACAGTAAAATGGTAGGACACACCAGGCGCAGACTAATATTACACTTGAAACATTTTGTTGTTTATCGAGAAAAAATTTTCGTTCGATTTTTTCTTTTTTCGAGAGGTTTAAATTTTCTTTTTACAACCATGCATTGCTCGATGTTCATAATTTGCGGCACATTCCCGTCAAAATGTTTTTCTTTTTTTTAACGATATCTACCATAAAGGACTTCATTGTTCCTTTCAATGGCTCATCTCATTAACAATTTATTCAACATTCAGTCAGAAAAACAAAAGCTTACAAATTTAACTCTATTCAAAAACAAAGGGATCACCTATTTCAACGTCCATCTTACAGGACAAATTTTCCTCTTAATTTATTCCTTTTGTTACAAACGTGGAACAAAGGAATTATCTGAGCAGTCCCCATATTTCTGGTTAATAGGAAAGATTTGAGAATTAATAAAGGACGACTAAAAACAAATAGCAGGATACAATTGTATGATGAATATTGTTAAGACGACCTTAAAGAACCCAACGGGAGATAATTTAAATTGTAAAAAAATTCAGCTAAATTTTTAGCTGAATTTTAGCTGAAAGCTCTAGTTTTCCCCTTGTAACAAACAAAAAAAGAAGATAAAACTACGTACCAGCTGGTATTTTCTATTGCTTTTTATAATAAAGCATGCAAATAAACGTTCGATATGATCGTCTATACCAGTCTGTAGGGAAGTCTGGCGGTTTAAAAAAAATAATTTGAACATGACGAGGAGATAAGCTTTTCACAGGAGATTTATGGTACAAATAAACCCGCAATAAAGTGGGAGAGTAAAAGAATTTTCCCGGAAAACTCTTTAGCCAAGTGAAATACTGAAAATTGTTTAGTCTTACTATTTTAAAAACAAAACCTTGAATACTTAATTGCAGATGTTTTAATCGGGTTTTTATGGAAGTTTTAAGAAGAAAGTAATTGCTTGTTTGTCTGTCTGTCAGTCTGTTTTTAGAAAAGAGTCTATTGGTTTCGATGAGGCGTGCTGTTGAAAGGTAATTATAACCGACCCTTTTTCTTGTTTTATCCACAATATGTAAATTTCAAAACGGGCTAAAGCGACCAGTGACTGCAATATGTATCTATCAAACCAAACTTCAGCCTAATTTTTACGGTAAATAACATTAATAGTGTTTACACAAAAACTTTTTCGGTTTCACGCAAGCTTCTGCGAAAAATTTTAAACACAAGCTTTGGTCTTGAAGATAGGCAAACTCGAACGGAAAAGTTCTCTGTTTAGCCACAGCAAAAGTGCAATTCTTACCGTTTTTCAATAGACATACAGCTGTTAGAAGAATTAGTCTCTAACACTCGGTTGAATTTTCTTTATTACCTATTTCTTTGGACATAAGTCCACACTGTTCTGCTTTGCTATATTCTCTGATTGAAAGATGCTGTGCACCAGCTTATAAAGGTGACACCAAAGATGACACTTCTAAGCTGTCAATCTTCTTACATCGCGATCGCTCCGTTTCAGCCAGCGAATCACGTTAGAGTACGTACGAAAGTTCCTGTATACTAAGTATGCACCTTCGAATTGTTTACGCAATCACAAGATCGTCTTCTACCTTAAATTTCTTAATTTTACGGTTGAGATCGGCCAGAACAAAGACAAGATTGATAATATAAAAATTATAGTTAACCTATTGGTAGAATTGAAATTACGCTTGAAAAGATAGTTTACGAGAAAATAGCCTTAGAAGATTGTTATCTAACAACAGAGTAAACAGAAAATTCGGAGAAGAAGGGGTGTACTTAAGGTACCGCCCCTAAAAAAACTACGTGTTATTCGCATAAGTTATATAATTACAAATTCAGTGCGGAGGTGAAAGAGCATTAGCTATTTACAATCATAGTCACCTTTTTTTAAGAAGAGGTGTTGAAGGTGTTAACTTAAAATTCAAGAAATATTCTGGAATCGTGTATTTGACTTTAAAATTTGACTAAAAAAAACCAGTCTGATAGTAATCAATAGTATAAGAAGCAGGAGTTTCCAGGAATTCCTGTGCGAGGTTAACTTTTACCAGAGAGATTTACAACAAGAAAATTGACATGATTAAAAACATAGCTTATCACAAAAAAGTACAACTAATCACCGATCACCGTAGAAACAGAGCAACTGTTTTCGTACCAAATTCACAACCGCAATAAGAAAAAAAGGTGAAAGAAATTGTACTTAGATGAGATCGACAAAAGCAATAAGAAATAATCAACCTGTCTTATTGTAATTTTTGTATCGAATGGCTCAAAGTAATATAATATTTCCATTCTTTTTCCCAACACCCATATATGGAAACCCTTACAATATTTCAGATTAAATATAGTTCTATTTTTATCGTTTAACACAGCCCTCTACGGACTGCTTTCGAATAAAACACGTGTTTAAGATTTCCAACGCAATCTCCATCTCTTGCTTTCCTTCAGTTAAGCTTGTTGCAGTGCAGCCGGAGAACGTGTAGATTACGTCCTTGAGCCGCAGATCATATCTTTACCCAGCCCAGGAGAAACAAAAAAATGGCTGCCAAAGTAAAGAAGACTCGCAAAGGACTACAGAGCCAGCTGAGCCTAATCAAAGTTGCCTTGGTTGTGATAGCTTGTTCTGGTTTCTATCTATTTGTTATGGTACATCAGATAGATAATCCATTTATAAACAGAGATTTGTCTACACAATTCATCCATGAACCAGAATCGCAACGGAATGACTCCTACACCCAACTTGGAGGCGTAGGTTGGAGGGCAGAGGTAATTTCTGATTTTGTAAGAAATGACGACGCTTTCAAAGATCTGCTTGACTTGGACGATTACGATGCTCCAAAAAATTTATCTTCAACTGATGTTCCTGTCTCCAAGTCCAGCAAAGTGTTACATGAATCAAATGATTTTGACCCAGTCACTGACTTGAAACAGCAAGATGAAATGGGTTCTCCTCAGAATGTATCTTCATTTCTGGAAAGAAAAATGAATACAATTGATTCAGGAGAACTCTCAAGAAATAAACATGGGAGTCCAGTAGAGTCCAAATCGGATTCCGAAAGATATTCTGAAACAGCGAAATCTTCCCGAAGATTTGACAACCGCTCGCCCAACCGGGGGGTTGAACGCCTACGGCATCACATGTTACACCCTCAAATCGGAGTAAGAAGGAAACTGGAGAGACAGTTTAAGTTTGTAAACTCATCAAAACACCACATGGTAAACAATGACACAAAGTCCATCCTTCAGCAAGAAAAAATATACAAAGGTGAAATTTTAAATCAGACTGAAAATCTCGCAACAAAAAATAATTTCAGTACCAATGTATCAGACAACTTAAAAGAAAAATTGAGCGACAGAAATCCTCTTCGTCTTCTCAAACATGATAACAGCGAAAAGGGGAATATCATCAAAGTTAGTCCTGTAGACACTCAACAAATGTTGGTGAAAAGTTCCCTTCATAGATCTCTGTTGTCGGGTAAAATGCCAGTTTCAAATGATCAAGATAAATCATCGCTTAGTAATGTGCAAAATTCAGATCGAATTCAAAATAAAAATTCGAATCGACAAAGTTTTAATCATGGACAGAATTCAAGCAAAGTGGCAACAAATCTTCATAGTCATAGATCGCGACTAAAAGATGAGGAGATAAAACGTACTCCCGACCAGCTTCCGAAAACAACTTCGGTGAAAAAACGAAAGAGTCTCCTTATCTTCGGTGACGATCGTTCTGGAACAACATTCGTAACTAAGATGTTTGCTGCTGATCCTCAAATGTTTACAGTTTATGAACCTTTGTGGGTAACTAAGAAATGGTTTTCAGGATCTATTACAGGAAGTAGAGAGCAAGTTAGAGTTACGTTGGATTTGATTAGTGCCTTGCTGTCTTGTCATTTCACGCATTCCAGAGCGGGAAAAGATTTTCTTTTTCATACCTCATCGCATTGGGTGGGTGCAGGGGTTTTTGAGAAAAACGTCTTCAGAACTTCTCCATTTAAGCGCAAGACAAAAACTGGAAAGTGGTTCTGGCCTAATCTTCATCGTTATCCGGAATTTGCAGAAGAGGTTTGCCTCAAAGATTTTAACCACAGCGTAGTAAAGGTCGGACAAGTTCGCGTTCCGCGCGAGAGTATCTCGACCATTATCCCACGCGTGTTCCACGCGAATCCCGACACTGACATACGTGTCATTCAAATAGTGCGCGATCCGAGAGGAAGCCTAAACTCACGAATAAAGAACGGGTGGATCTCGGATTTCACTTACGTCCGATTTCGTTCCCTGGTGCGAAAGATGTGTGGTAAAATCGAAGCAAATATTCAGTTTGGCAGAGAATCAAATTCTGAATGGAAAGACAGTTATATGGAGGTAACCTACCGAGAAATTACTACAATGCCTGTTACCACAGCTAAGAAGATGTATAAATTTGCTGGCTTTGAAATGCCAGACAGCTTAATTGATTGGATTATCAAGAGCACGAATCCTGATGAAGAGGAATTACAGGATTCCTTGGATAACCCTTACTCCCATGTTAGAGATTCTCATAAAAATGATTTAAAATGGCGCAGGGAGTCACCTATTAAGCGCGTGCGAATAATCGAGGAGGAGTGTGAGGATCTGTTGAATTTACTCAGCCTTGATCCAATCGCTGACGAAATGGAAACATTACGCTCTTGAATAAAAAAGATGTTTCAGAGCTAAATCAAAGTGAGAAAAATCGTGGAAAATACGAGACTTGAAAGTCAAGAAGTCATTCAATATTTTGGAGTTTAGAGAGTTTTTACTGTAAGAAGTTCACGACTGAATTTGAGATTAAACTTGAAATTTTTAAAATAATTCGCAGTCCGAGTTTGTGAGTAAATTGCTTTGTTAGGTATATCACAATTATGATAGACCTGCTGTCCTTTTTTCGCAGCCTATCCGTCAGACGGAGTGGTCTCGGCCTCTGACATTCGCCATTTCTGCAGTTTCCCCGCACTCACATCGGGATTTACTTCATTGACGGTTCCTGCTCTAATTACTGTGCTAGTAAGGTTAACGGGATCATGTTAAGAGCTCTTAAACAAAAATAACCAGTTACTACACAGTTTACACGAAACAAACAGGGTATGCTATTTAAGGATAACTCTCACTGGCTCCAGCGTTGTAAACGCGTTTGTGAGCAGGAAAATCGGAAAATCGGAGACGCAAGGGGAGACATGGATCAGGATCGGAAGAATCATTACAGTTTCATTTTCTTCTGACGCGTATGTTCCGTTCAAAACTAGATTGCGTCACTCACAAATAGCAGCAGAAGAGCCAACCAGTCATACTACGAGTTCTGTTACCATTCGATAGGTTACCACTTTAGAAATTTAGCTTTTACAGATCACAAGCGACGGAGTCACAAGCGGCAACTGCACTCTGTTTGTGATTGCGTTTTTTCTTATTTTTGTCGGATCATATTGCTCTGCACTTCTACCATCAACTCTGACTACTACTTTGAAAACCAATCTTAAATTCATTTGTGCCAATCAGCGCCCATGGACCCTCAGGAGCAAAGCAGATGAAGATTACGCTCATTTCTCGTTTCCTGTCATGGGATTGTTCAGTTTTGTGCAAAGGACTTGGTAACAGTAATGCCGCTTATAGGTGAATTCAAGAAGGAATCAGACCGTAAATACCAGAATCAATAAGGGAAGTAAACAGCTCAGAGCGTTGAATAGACTGAGGTTTACGGGTGACACTGAAATGAATAAAGGGGTATGTTTCCTTAAAAGATTATTCAGTTTTATCGACTGAGTTGATAATGTGAATCGGCTACTGTACCATAGAGAGGACAATAAGGCTGACGTTTCGAGCGTTAGCCCTCGCTCTGCCGAAGGGTATTCTCGGTCGGTTTTCACTATAGCAGATTGTTAGGAGAAAGTCAGTTCGGGGCTTTCGCCATATTGAAAAAATGACCGAGAAAGCCCTGAGGATGAGTTTGCCTCGACCACTTTTTCTAAGAGTCTGGGTACGAACCCATGATCCCTTCCTCTCTAAGATGGCGGATGAGATATAAACGTTCGTGAAAATTGATAACTGTGGAAATGGCTGCAACATTTTATGCAGTGGTGCTTTGCGTTCTAGCCAATATTCTTGTGCGGTGGTGTGTGTCTCTAAGCACCTATTCAGGTACCTTGAAATTGAAGTTCTCTTCTGCGATCTCGTGGAGATAATGTTTTGAAATTTACACGCGCGCTTGCTTTTGCTGAATTTGTTTCTCAGGAAAGGGAAAACCCCCAATGTTTGGAGATTATGAAGCACAGCGACACTGGATGGAAATAACATACAATCTTCCGTTTGATGAGTGGTAATCCTGTGTTATTAAGTGCCTTTTATCGGTTACATGTACATGTAGCCATAGGTGAGAGTGATGTGTCTGATCAGCAGGTCGGAAAGTCATGTCGACGAAAATCGTGATTTCTCTCTGAGAAAATTACATTTGATCGATTACTTTGATCATCCGGATAAGAATGGTACTGAGAACAGCTGCTGCAAGGAAAAATATTCTGGATGCTTGTGTTTGGTTTTGACGGAAGAAGGAAAATCGTTATAAATTTAAAGAAGAACTTGAACCCTCGAAACTTCCAAGTTCTATCGAGGAAAGCTAAAGAGGATGGCCTATAAGTATTGGCCACGTGAAAAGACAATGCGATTAAGGATCATGTATTGTTCAGACCTTCGAAGACTTATTTGTGATAGTTGGAAACCTATTTACCCACAATATCTCTCCCAAGAACTGATGGGTGATTCCCCTGACTGCAGACCTTACATTTGTTGATGACTAGTTTTAAGACTTGAATGTCAGGGTGGGGAATAATTTTTATAATTTCATTACATGCCCTGTTATGAGTGGATTAAAATTATAAAGATTATTTTTTTTCTTCTTGTACTTATCAGTACTGAGTATCAGAGAGTTGATGAGTTGTCAATGATTGCAATCTAAATTTATAAAAAATATCAATATTTTTTGGAAGGTACACAAACACAACCAATAATGACTTAATGTATTGGGGCTTGGATTACCCTCCGCTCACTGCATACCACAGCTGGGTTTGTGGCTTCATGTGAGTACTTCAATTAAAAATAATTCTTGAATCTCTGTTTCAGACAGCAATGATCCTTTCACTCCTATGATTTACATTTAAATTTTCCACTCCCTCTGCCTTTTATTTTTTTCAATGAGGGGAGAGATTCATTTTTGATCACTCCCAAGATTGAGAAGGTTAACCCTCAGAACATGGTGCTTAACTGCAGGTTTAACATAACTGTAGTAAGAGATTCTGTTAACTATGGTTGGTTCCAGGATGTAAGGTTTGTAGAGCTCTTAAGAAATTCACACACATTAGTACCTAATTCCAAACACTGACACTATCATAATGATATTTTATTTATATTGCAGAGCTAACAAGATAAATCCAAACTGGGTTGCACTCAACAAGTCCAGGGGACATGAAAGTCACACGCATAAACTGTTTATGAGGCATACAGGTGAACTGATTTATAGAATCATACTGAGTCTTGTAATTTGATTTTTACAATTATAAGTGCAACTGCTGAGTAGGAAATTTAAGTCAAGTTTATCTCATAGTTAACTTGCTGTTTTGATTTTTTCAGTTGTTATAGCAGATATATTGGTGTATATTCCAGCAGTCTTAGTTTTTGCTTTTGTTTTCTTGGGAAGGAAACCAGTCATCAACAAGGTAATGATGGCATTTGGTATCTAAGACAAGCAGGGTGATGTGCAGGCCTCTTCATTGCAAAGTTACATTCGGAGTGTGAACTTGTGCATAAAGATTAGCGTAGAGGGAGTAAAGGATGGATTCCCCTGTGGATTCTGAGCCCCTTAAAATGTACCATAGTCTCAAACATTTTGTATTAAAGCTTCCTAACAATTCACTGTCTTCCAAGGCTTTCATCTAAATGTTAGTTAATTTTTGTTCATAATGATATCTTCGTCAAAGATATGAAATGTTTGTACCAAATAATTTTTTCCATTAATTTCTAGGTTCTTACTGCAGCTACTGTGTTATTCTACCCAGGACTTATCCTTATTGACCATGGTCACTTCCAGTATCCAACCTTGTTTTTCATAATCCAACCTGATGGAAGATATTTGATATGAAAAAGACAATGCATCAATTTCAGAATTGTCTTTTTAGGGTGTCCTATGCCTGACCTTCCATAAATTAATTAAAGAGGGTGCCTGGCCAATGCAGCAAAATTTTGTAAAATTGTTGAAAGAAAATTGAAAGAAAAGGTTACTGTGCAGTGTATACTCAGATTTAAAGACGTGTTTTTTAACTCTTGTAACCCCAACATAAGTAGGCATATTCTCCATACTGTTCTCTATACATATGTTTGGTACTAACAAGGATAATTTATTTAACAATCAAACTTCCATAGGTTGGTGATCATTTTCTTTATTCTCATGATTGTAATGAATGATTGAGCAGTATTACTGTTGGGATTAGATTAGATGCTAGTCACTTTTAGGGTTTTTTCAAGTAAAAGTACATAACATCACTGGATTGTGTTATTTTTAAAAATATAAAGTTGCCTTAAAATGCAACTGTTTTTTCCTTAACTGACTGATTCAGATATAATTCAATAAGCCTTGGTTTAGCTCTGTGGGGAGTTATAGGACTGGCTTGTGATCATGATTTGCTGGGCTCAATTGCTTTTACACTGGCGTTAAACTACAAACAGATGGAACTTTATCATGCTCTCCCTTTTTTTTTCTATTTATTAGGGAAATCATGGAAACAAAATTCTTGGTAAGTATTTTTGTTAATCACACAATTTAAGTAATATAACTTGAGCTGAACTAGAGTAAGGTTGAAGATGTTTCAAGTCCATATTGATGAACAGATTCTAAACATTCTAACTCTAACAGGGATTTCTTTATATGTAGGTTTTATTATTTGTAACATATGTTTATTCACTCTATGGTGTTTTGCTGTCAACACTGATCCTGCAACTAAGACTTAATCTGTTGATTGTTTACATAGGTTCTCAAGAATATTTAATATTGCAAAAATTGGGATTGTGGTTGTTTTAACATTTGTTCTTTGGTAAGTGACAAATTGCAATCACCCTTGAAATAATTTTTCATTAATTCAGTCATTTTAATTTAACAATAAATTAATTTTTCAATTAATGAATTTTTGTTTGTACTTTTGTTTGCGATTGTGAATTTTCAGTTGGTTACCATTTTTGACTGGATTACCAATGATTTTACAAGTTCTCCACAGACTTTTTCCATTTGCCAGAGGTATCTTTGAGGTAGATATCAAACTTTCATGTCATCCAATAACAATCTGTAACAGTCTAATGCATTGTGTGGATATTGAAAGTATTAATCTAACTTGTATTTTTATCATTCCTTTACAAGGACAAGGTGGCCAACATTTGGTGCTCAATCTCTGTTCTAATTAAAGTAAAAAAAATACTCTCACAAACTCAGATTATAAGACTCAGGTAAGAATACATCATTCACTCAATGATACATGAGAGAATTTTCAGGAATTAGATTTGTAAAATAAGTGGTAAGAAATAGGGGACGTCAAAATATTAACGTTAAGGCTAATAAACCTAACAAAATACGCATTTTTTTCAATTTTTTTATTTTTATTTTTAATCTTCTCTCCATATTATTCATCCTTCCCTTGCAGCACCTGGTCAACAATCATAACTTGCCTACCATCCTCACTGAATTTGCTAAAGAATCCAATGATAGACCGATTTGTTTTAGCCTTGGTAAGGATCTAGTTCACCTGAATGTTATGAACTAAAATGCCAAAGGCAGCAGCACAATTTGTCTTAAATGTCATTGTCTTTGCAATGTGATCATCTAAGGTTGACCTTACATAAGAATCAAGTAACATCCCTTCTACCTGAAGAATACTTCAGACTTTAAATTGACTCTTGATTTAAAGTGATTCCATAATGTTTTTCTACCATCTTATAATTTGTCTATTACTTAAATTCCAGGTGAATTCTTCATTGGCATTTTTCCTTTTTTCCTATCAAGTGCATGAAAAATCAATTTTGTTAGCAGCTCTGTAAGTACCGTTCTTTTTAACAATTAATCTCGCAAAGGAAGTTTCTTCTGATTGTGTTCCCATGTTAAGCTAAGGAGTGCTATGACAGCTTCTGATCAGATTGATTTTTATTCTGTTTGTGACTGTTATTTGACAACATATGACAACAGTAATACTTAAATAATTCATGTTTTCTTATTGATCACTTCAGACCTGTTTGTCTTCTGCTTCACTATAAACCCTTTGAGTGTGTGTGGTTCTTAGTCATCTCTACTTTCAGGTTGGTGATAAAACAATTTAAGTTTTGCAGTCTGTAATTAATGTCTTTCAGTAAAACTTACTGTCAATTGAATGTCTCATTAGTCAGCCTTCAGTCAATCATAATGTAAAATTAGCTTGTCTTCACCAGGAAATCTCTACTGTGAATAGCCCCCCCCCACCTTGATGTAGGCTTCCTCTAGTTATCAAGCAATGGGTGTTTTGGTCAAGGGAGACTTGACTTAACCCCTCCCCTCCCAGATGGCTGGGTAGGTACTAACATCCTCCTGCAATATTTTTTCCATTGCCTTTGGTACCAAGCTGAATTCTGCAGCTAGAGTCACCCAACACAATGATTACTAAGAGTAATTACTATCAATAATTAATAACTTATTTTATTTTCCAGCATGTGGCCCTTACTACTGAAGGATGGTTTGTCTCTACCCTATATTTCATGCATGTTGTTTTTCTACACCATTGCTTATCATGTGTTTGAGCTCAACAAGGTAGAACCACTTAAACAAAGTTTGGTGAGTTGTTCATTCTGTACAATCCACACACCATTAAAATTGAGCCAGTTACTTCTTGAAGAGCCCAACTATTGATATATTCTCCAATGAGATAGGTGATGATGAAAAAGAGGGAACTGAAAATCATTCCATGATATAAGGTTTGGTTTTACACCAAATTTTCAGGGTTAAAATTTTATTTAATGTATGGTAGACAGTGCTGAGAACTGATACGAAGGTCATGGGAATGAATGGGTGAAAGCAGTGTTGTAGACTTTCATTGTGAACTCTGATAGAGTTACCAAACAGAATACATGATTGATCATGGTTATGAAGAGTTAAATGCATTACAGCATTCAAACTGTAGAGACATCAACATCTGTACAGTTTAAATGCTGCACACCTTTAATTCATAATGGTAATCAAACTCCTGTTTCTTTCCATGAGATTTTCTTGTACCAAATCTTTTTTCAGTTTGTTCTGTCAGTGATTGGAGCCTTGGGTTTACACATTGGATCAGCAGTTGTTCAGCCCCCCAAACGGTACCCAGACCTCTGGCCTGTACTCATCTCTCTCTATTCCTGTGCACATTTCTTAGCTTTTCTGTGTTACTTTAATTATATTCAGTTTACTATACCATATACTTTACAGTCCATTGTCACAAAAGAAAAGAAATCCTAGGAACAGAAATTATTTCAAAATCATTATTTACGGAGATTACCTCTGCCAAAAAAGTATTTGATACTGGTAAAGATTTATACCTGAAATTAATTTTGACATGCAAGAAATGTTTTTCTCAGGAGACTACAACTTGCAATGCAATAATTGGAAACATTGAATGGTATGAATGATTTTTGGAATGGAATCAACCTGACATTCATTAATGTAAAGATACACGTACCTGTTACTAACATGTTCAACACTATTAAATAAGTTTTTAAATTGTCATAATTTTCTTTAATATTACCAGTACTTCCTGATCAATGTTCAATTTTTATTCTTCAATTGTCATGAAAAATTCTATCTTAATTAGAGTCTTAATGAAAACCATAAAAATTCTGTCACATGTTCCATAGCTATTGAGAAACTTTTTAATGATGAATTTGTAAAGTGCTGACTGTTGTTGATCTTGTAGATGTAGAAATAAAGGCATTACAACATTCAAACTGTAAAGAAATCAATATCATTACAGGTAAAATGCTGCACACCTATAATTCTTAAATAAATGATCCACATCCAACTTCTCACAAACATCCAGAGACAACATCAAGCAAAAAATGATCACAAGGAAGTCAATTTTAGTAAGACAAACACCAACAAAATCCAGTTTACCAGACAATTTACTTATCAGTTGATGCGTGGCTTCAGTAAGAATGTAACAGTACAAAACAAGTCAATTTCAATTTTCCCACCCCCATCCCCTGGTGTTTGCTCAACCTACCTACTTACCCCCCCCCCCAGTATTTGCTCAATTTACCTACTCCCACCCCCTAGTGTTTTGCTAATTAAAACAGCTCTTAAATATCACATTCAAGTACTGAACTACCTGTTTGTATGTCTTTCTATCCTTCTGGGTGATCAGAGGCACTTTAAGACTCGCTGTCTTGACCAAAAGAACACAATGTTAAGTCAGAAAGGTATCAATTATGCTGTGTCCAACTGAAAAACTGCTGATCAGATGTTTATTGGTCCAGAGGACATGATTATGAAAAAGTTCACAAATGCAGATATGTTGCTTGGAACATTTAATATTAATTCTCTCATTTTTACTTCTTGTAAAGTGATCCAGAACAAAAGTATAACATCCTTAAAACAAGGCACAAATACTGTCAGTAATGATACATGTCTACCCATGCTTTAAACTCCTTCACTCTTTTTTAGAGATACCTTTGAAAAATTAACTTTTTGCCTTAAAATACACCATTCTGAAAAATAAATACATCTTTATAGGACATTTTACAAACACAGCATCAAAACAGGTGGCAGTTTTACTACAGAACTAATATGATTTTACATCATTGAGTGTTATGACAATATCTCGTCATTTTAACCATGTAACCCTTTAATCCCCAAGATCTGATTGTCAATCCTCTCTAGCTGCTACAAATTCCCTTCTAAATCAGTGACATGGTTGATAAAGGTAACTTCTTCCTGTTAAGTTTGAGTATATTCTCATTGCCTATTTGCTGGATAATGTTTGGATATTATAGTAAGAGGTTGTCAGTCACTTCTGGAGTTAACTAGTTAAAACAACAGATGTTAATTCAATATTAATATTAGATGCCATTTTTACTGGAAAAATATTTCTTAAGTTAGACACAATAAATATGTTAAGTCTACAAAGGTGAGATATGCTAACTAAAGTACCTTACAGGTAATAACCATTATTAAATATTCCTACGTTACATAAAATTCCTAGAGTTATAATATGTACTTCTAAATTAGAAGTAACCCTGTCATCAAACACGGCAGTTCTGAATGGTGAAGGTCACTATGTCATAGGCACCAATTTCTAAAATAGACAATAACAAGTACAATTACTAAATCAATAATGTGGTATAAGCAAAACAGCTTGCATGTTTAACCCTTTAACTCCCAAGATCTGATTGTTAATTCTCCCCTCTAGCTGCTACACATTTCCTTGTAAATTAGTTATGAGAACTTGGTGTTAGATCAAGATAGCAGCTTTTACCTGATAACTTTGAATATTCTCATTACCTGTTTGCTGAATAATGTATGGATATTGTAGGGAGAGGTAAAGATTGGGATGGATATGGTTGATGACAAGGTGACAATGGTGACCCCAGAACTGCTAACCTCTAAAGATTTAAAAGGAATTTTTTTTTCTTTTGGCCAAAGCTCATCCCTCACTACTGAATCTGCCACCGAACCACCTCCCTTTGAAATGCTGTTGATGGCATGCCCCCTTCTGCTTTGTTTGCAATTTTACCCAATATGTAAGAAAATGAAACCAGAAACTGTAAAATAAGCATGAAGAAGCAGTAAATAATTAGGAGTGATTTTGGAGTTTCAAGGTAAGGTTTTTAGGGTAATTTCTTTCAATTGGGAGATCTTACAAATCATGCAACTAGAAGAGACTACATTTATGTTCTCTGTGCAGAAGACCTGGAGACTGTGCGTAACATATGATGGTGATGTCAATAGTGATAGTGACTGTCGCTATAGCTATACTGGTATTCCTTACTTTATGAGTTAAAAACTAACCTTTCAGTTTGTCTAGAACCTGATTTTCCTCATTTTGAAGAATCATACATTGAACAGCTACCCAGGCCTCATTATCCAAAGGAGAGAGTGTGGCAGACCTCTGAGAAAAAGCAGATCATAAGAAACATATTAATCATATGGTCTTCATTCATTTACAAGAAACTTCTAATCTCCTGCTTAGCTACATTTTAACACATTTTGATGAGTTTACTCACTGGTGATTCAACATGTAACTTACCTTTCCTGGTGTTATTTTCAGTGCTTTTGGGAGATTTACTCTTTCCACATTGTATTCAACCATCACATACCTGGTCAAAATGATCATCTAATTAACACAATTGAAAACTTTAAATCATGCTTGGAACCATAAATCGCATTTTATGAATTGAAAATGAGCCAAAATGTGACTCCAAAAAGTTAGAAAATCATACTTGTCTGCATGGATGATCCCTTCAATTCTTGATGTAACTGTCCTAACAACATCCTATGATATAAAATAATAAAAACCCTTGTTAAAATCATTCTACTTAATTTTATCACACAAATATTCTGATCCAAATGGACAGTGCTTCAAATATAATACAGCAAAATCTGCCGCTGAACATGGAGAGTTTTAGCTAGAAAAGGGGAGCTGCAAGTTTATATGAATTGCATGTTCATGACCCAATGCTAATAACTTCTAGATACCATTTAATTATACAAAGTCACTGTGCACATTAAGACTTACCATCTGTAACTACTAACCTGAAAGTGGGCTTTAGGGTTTGCAATCAAAACAGCCTACATATTGAGCAAAACCAAAATGAAACCCTGTATTAATTTATTTCATTTGTTAAATAGTTTATAATTACAGTCCTCTCCAGAAATTGAGGGATGCTTTTCTATGTGAACCTCAAAAGCAAGATCAAATGAAACAAAACTGCAGAGGGAACATTCTCTTTCAAAAGGTAGAGAGGACTAGAAAGAAACCACTGAAAATCTTCTCCTCCCTTCTAATTATGATTATAATAAAAGAGCTGTGTCAGCCTCAGGCCTGATACTTCATAAATTGATGCATTTATTAATCAGTCAATTGACTGATTAATACCTTAAGATTAGTTATAAATTAATCAGAAATGGATCAATTATCGCACCTCAGTCTTCATAATTTCAGATACTATTTCTAGTCCACATGCTCTCATTGTGTCCCCTGTTTCAACAAGATCAACTTAAAAAAGAAAAAAAAAACAAGAAAAAAACCAGTCAATAAAATAATGAATCAACTTAGCCTGTTACCGCTGCAGACAGATACATTTATTAACATGTATAAATACACCTTTGACCCTTTTACTTCCACGATCTCATTATTAATTCTCCTTACTGTCTGCTATAAAATTCTTATGACTTGAGTTTGAAGAATTTAGTATTAGAAAATATTATATTATCATTAAATTAATATTTTCCTTTATTCTAATCAATTGTCTGCTTGCTATTGTATTGTTTTTGTGAGGGGTAATTCTGTCTTGATCACTTGAGGTGAGCTTTTGCCTGAAAATATAATATCTTTACATTTGAAAGGATCACTGTTGCTATTTCATTGGTGTTGAAAACTAAAATATTTCACTTATTCACTTTGCTCACTCCAAAATATTTTCAACACTTGAAGAGAAATTTCCTATCACTGCAGGGCCATGTAATATCCTCTATATTGTAACATTTCTCTTCTAAAGTGAGTTCTAAGCTTGGGGCTAAATGTAGCAGTGAGGACGACATCAGTTGACACTCTTACCTATAGCATCAGCAACTCCCAGGCTGCAGGCCACCTGACAGAAAAAAAAATACAAAAAAAAAAAAAAGGTTGATTCCCTAATAGCATTTGTATGTGTTAATTATGATATGAATCATGCTTGAAATCTGAAGAGTGGAAAAGATGCATAAGAGTAGCCTATGGAGTATTTTTAATATCTCTAGCTTCTTGGGTCCTCTCCAAACTTCCATCAGTATTTGTCATATCTTGATGAACCTACAACTAAGGCATGAATATATTGTCTTAAAACATATTCCCTCCTTTATCTTCAATGCACACTGGAACGAAGTAAAGTTTATTGATCGTGACCCTTATTACCACATGCGCAGGGTCAAAGAGGCAATTCATATAAGACTTCACCCTAACAACATCAACAGGGATAGTGCTCACAACGACAGGAGAGCCGTACGGCAGCAGACTGCCGAGGGAGCAAATCACTGAGTGAGCTGTTGAAAAAACAACTAATCACAGCAGAGCATCATGCTTTATAGGATCATGCATGACCAGTTGACCTCATCGCCTGAAGAAGACTAGCAGTATGCAGTCGAAACGTCACAATCTAAATCACATGTGACTACATTGTGAGACAAACAAAAAACTTAGCTTTTATTTTTATACACAATATAGTTGTAAATAAGAGCATTTTTCTAGCTATATTAAAATAACAATTGACTTACTTCCACAGATCCACTGACATAGTTAATCGTGGTAGTGTTGTTGGGATCATATTGCTGCAGATGCAAATATTGATAGATGACAAAAATGTCAAAAGTGATTTTAAAAAATTAAAAAATCAGGTATTCAAGTATGAAGAACTTACAGAAAGGTACTTTCTGGTGACATTTGGAAAGGATGTGACTATTCTTTTTCCTGTAAAGAAAACAGATCAAAATGATGTTAATAATATTTTTATAATCTGTTTAAGCATTCCATATTTAAGATTTGAAAAAAAAAATACAAAGATGTTCATACCAACAAGATCCTCTGCACTTGAAATTTTGGATGACACAGGTGCCTGTATACCATGCAAAATAACTTGATTATTTTAAAGGATACTTAAAATTAACTAATTGTAATGATAGTACTTGCCTGTACTGCCAGCCTGCACTTGCCAAATCCAAGGTTCAATAGTTCATGAACTGAAATCATTCAGCAATATGGTTAAGAAACATTGTTTGAAATTAACTAAAAAAGCGAAGAGAAAATTGATACGATATAAAACATAAAAAAAGGGGCTAAAAGAAATTATGCAACAAATACTACTACCTTTTCCTCCACTTTCTGCCACAACATCTCGTCCTGTGATTCCCATGTCAATTCTAAGGAATCAATGTAAATTTTACTAACAAAAAATATCAGTGTTATCTATCATTATTACCTCAACCACGAGTGCAGATAATAGTACAACAAAGCCTCTTTTGGCTACAAATCTATTAGAATCCATCCTATAAATATGAATGTTAGGCCCCAAATTTATTTGTGAGTCCTGTCCAAGAAAAAAAAGCCAGAGAACAAAGAAGTCCTGTGCATGTGCAGGGTCAAATACACAGACCCTTATAATTAATTGGAAAGGGGGAGATATCAAATGATCTTAAAGTAAGATTTGAATGACAAGGCAAGGGATGTAGTCTTGAGTTATGCCATCAACGGCTCAAAAGTACTAGCATCCAGTTATCTCTAGATCAAACAAATCAGATGAAGGGAAACATTCCCAGTTAAAGATTCAAAGCTCTTGATTGTACCACAAACCCTACTTGTCACTACCACAAGAAATGTATAAAGAATGTGATAGAGAACATTCATATTAATGTTGAGGTCTTAGGGAGTAAGGTACTTAGGGCTTATAACTCAACTCACAAAACCTCCCCTACAGATCCTGATACTGACCTTCCTTGACTAACATAGAGAGCAATATCCGATGCTGGGAGAAAGACAAGAGCCACTGAAAAGTTAAAACAACCATAATTAGACCTGTGATGACCTCAAGCAGCATGAATTTAACAGATGAACAGAATTTTGCCTTTAAACAAGCAGATCCCTTAAACTTGTAGGAATCAATACCCTCTAAGAATGTACTGCTATCATCTATGTGTGAGTAGAAAATTATTCACACATATGACAATTAGATGGAGCAGGTAGTTTTTTGCAGGCCATATTGCAGCAAATGGAAAGAATGGAAAAAATGCAAAGAGAGATGAAATACATATCTATGATGTGCAAGTACTAGAGTTTTGACAATGACTTACTGTCAAGTGAAGTACAGAGAGCCAAATCCAAACGTGCTTTTTTGCGATACTGTAAGAAAATTATTTGTTTAATGAACTTGTATTGGCAGTTTTTCAGGAAGTAGAGGTATGTCAGATCACACAAAGGAAGGTATGGATTTGACTGGATTTAATGTCACAACTAAGAATCTTAACCCTATAAACCCTTAGAGTGACCACAAATGAGAGAATTAATATTAAATGCTCTTGACAACACAACTGAATTTGTGAACTTTTTAGTTCTGACCTCTTTACCAATAGACATCTGATCAACAGTTTTTCAGGAGGAAGAAGCACAATAATTGTCAATTATTGATACCTTTCTGACATAGCACTGCGTTCTCCATACATATCTTTCTTATTTTTTTCAGATGTGAATAAATTAATTTTTTTTCCGACACTGCTCAATTTTTCGACGGCTTCGATTTCACCTTCAGTGGAACTTATGTTCTCAAAGATTTGCATAGTGGGGGGGGGGGGGGAATTTCCATAGCAATCGAGCCGCCACTTTTGTAACGGCGTTCAGTGACCGCACCCTCACAACAGCAGAATTTACTTAGCCACCCCCACTGTGTGGTTCCGTCATCGTAAATCTTTACCATACAGAAAATTTTAAATGTTAAGTCTTGTTCAAATTACCTTTACTCCAGCCCTATCCAGTAACGCAATACACTGATCGTAGAGTCTTCCTTTCTTCGGCACTGCCATAAGCATGCGATTTTTCAACTGTTCATCGCTTACATTGAGCCTGAAAAAATATGATTGCGCTCAGTCACCACAAAAATATAAAGATGAAATACTTTGATGCATTTCGAAGGCAGTTGTAATTTTCAGAGCAAGACGACGGTACTCTGTACATGTACAAAATTGAAAATACCAATAGGTCCATGAAACACACGTGTCATATTATTAAATAATTTTGATAATCTTTTGGTGAAATTAGATTTCAGCGTCACGTAAGGTAGAACAAACAAGCTATGGTAAAATCAAAATCCATGTACCTGTTCAAATTTCCCTCAAAAGAGGGATCTGCTTGGATACTCGCCATCAAAAACTGAAACGAACTTTCCAGAGAAGAGTTGCTCAGTAGCGCCTCGTTACAAATCCAAATGCGAAATGATCGAATAGCTTTTGACCTTTACTACTTCATATACGCGACATGTAATGTATCAAAGAGGACTTAATGATTCAACTGCAAAAAAAAACCAAAAAAAGAATAAGATTAGGTGGCTCGGTACACAGACCGATATTCCCTAAAACAAAATCAAACGCTTTTATTTTCACCAAATTTTTGCTGCCCTTTTGAATCTAGTTTCTTGTATTTCTAAGGGAGTGCTGTGGGGCTTTTACTACTAAACACTAAACAAAATGTCACACTACAGTGCACAAACATAACCCAAAATCATTTGATAGGGAGCAATTATGTTGGCTTGATGAGAGCAGCATGGCTTAAAGTACTAATAAGAAGAAAAGGAAGTAAATCTATGGTTGCCTGTCCCGTGATTAACTTGCACAAGTGCTAAAGTAAACTTTTCAAATTCAAGATTACTTCAACTTTCTTCATTTTATTTCTGTCAACAAGTTATGCACTACACATATCTATTTTCCAAGTGTACTACTACTGTATTTAGCATGAAATAAATAATTCCTCATAATCAACATGCAGTATAAACAGTTTGAATTGTTATCAAATGACATCACAAATTTGAGTACAAAATTAGAGTTTATAGTTTATTTCAATTTGTTATCAAATGATTCAGTGTGTTGCCTCTTTCATGCATTCCAAAATTTGGTAAATGACAGATATGAAATTGCAAATTCACTTAACAAAATTTCTTTGGTTGTTAAAAGAACTCCTAAATTTTTTAATTTAATTTCCACTCAACCCAATCAAAGGTGTTTTTTAATCATATGATTCATAACAAAAATGAAAGCAATTTTTATGGAATGAATTATACCTTTTGATAAGCTTACTGTGTACATAAACATCTCAATTTACTGTAACTGGTCATGTGGCATAATTAACCCTTTACACCCTAACATCAGCACCCATGTTCTCCACACTCTTCTATATACATTTCCTTTGGTACTGACAAGGAGAATTTATTTAACAATCACAGCTTCTTAGGTTGGCAATCATTAAATTTATTCTCATGATCTTAATGAATGATTCCAAAGTAATACTTTAAGGAAAAATTGGATGCTGGTCATCCCTTGGGTTAAAGGGTTAAAGGTATATGAAACTACAGTGATTCTGATACTTATTCCCAGAGATTCCTGAGATCCAGGGTAACAATCAAGATACCTTACCACAACATGGAGTAATAGCATTTCCTGAGATGTACTACAACAATCAATAATTTAAATAGTTACAACTTGATAAATAGATTTCCTTAAAAATATAACCTTTTACAGCATGTCTTACATTTGTACAAAAAGTTTTGTTGGGGGGAATCTAGATATTTATTTATTGCTCTCTGTTCTAAACAAGAGATGGAAGTTGTAACATCACTTAAAATCAGGCTGTCCTTTTAGTTTATTTGCTCTTCTGCCAAATAATTTTAGCAAAAGATTAAAAGCAATGACACAACCACAATGTAGGCAAGAACCTGAAAATGATTTCTTGTTTTTATCACTTGAATATAGAAAAGAAAATCCAAATTTATATTTTTCTTGAACTCTTTAACACCCTCACATCAGTATCTATATTCTTCATACTGTTGTCTTTACTTTCCCTTTGGTACTGCCAAGGAGAGCTTGTTAACAATCAAAGCTTCTTAAGTTGGCAATCCTTTCCTTTATTCTCGTGATCTAAATGAACGATTCAGCAGTATTACTGTAACGAGAAAGTAGATACTGGTTACTCTTAAGGTTTAAAAGACTGGAACAAAAACATCCTACATGGTGACCCATCTCTCTATAATCTTTCCCTCACTGAGCTTTTGCTTCCACATCTCACTAGAAAAGTTTATACATATTAACTACCTTTCAATCACCACCAAACAGATAAATTAACATTAAAGACAGTTAATGGAAAAATGAGGATGGCCTTAAATATTAATATCAACAAATGTTACAATGCTAGTCCAAAGATAAATTGAATGACAATGTTAACAACAAGAGAGAAAATCAAATTTTCATTAATAACAATTTAGCTAAAAAAAAAATTGCTTCAATGTTTACTGTGTAGAACTGACATAACCACAATTTTTCCCTGTCTATCTCATTGAACCTCACTTTATTGAGTAGCCCTCTCCAGAAATCCATTAGTCAGAATTGCTTCAGAGGGGAGAACAGAAGATATCTGATTAAATGTGCTGGAAGGGGTAACTCTGGAATCTCTTGGGCGGGAACATGATTAATAACAACCAATCTACACATGTGCTGAAGATTTAAAATTAATGGCAACTGCCAAACCCTGACGCGTCCATCTTTATAACCAGCAGCAACCTGCTGGCATGTTCTTGTAAAGGCCAGGCAAGACACTTCTGTGTTTTGATACCATGTTCTTAGACCATCTGGTTGAAGATGAGCATTGAGGACAAACAATACACTTAAACTTTCTGAGTTCAGTGCCAAGACCTTGGAGTCTGATGTACCAACTGCTAACATTGTACCATCAGGGGAAAAGGCAGCAGACCTTATTTTCTGCCATGGAGTCTGCAATGCATAAGCAAGTTGAATACATGTAAGACCAGGTTCGTCGGCAGTAAGAGACCATGTTTGAATGGTGCCATCTTCAAGACATGATGTCAAATACTTATGTCCATAGCGAGGATCAAACAAATACCAACATTGTAAGTGAGAACTAAGCGTGCGGCGACTTGAGTGACGGAATGGAAGGCATAAACACGTGGATGATGTGGAAGTATCCAAGTCTAGACTACTATGGATATGAAAGTCTTGAGTGTCGAAAACAATTAGCTGTCCAGAGGTGCACGATACAGCTAAGAACAAACCATCAGGCGAAAATACACATGATCGCGGGTGACCGCGAATCTTTGAGCTTGAGTTCGTTGCGGATTTCATTTTTCTGACCATTTTCTTGCTGGCAATGTCAATAATACAGATATGATTTAAATCACCTGTCAATTTAGATGCTACGACAAGCGATCGACCATCAGGAGAGAACGAACAACACATTAGTACTCCTCGTCTCTTTCGCCAAAATCTACGCATGTGAACAACTTCAGCACTGGTAGTTTTCCAAGATCTCATTCGCACCAGCGCAAGGGAGTCTTCGCTAAAAATACAAACCACCAATTGGCCATCGGGCGAAAAATCGCAGGATCTAAATGAGCGAGGGAAGTCAGCCAAAAACCCAGTGTTGATTTGTTTCTGATTCAGGTCCCATAATCTTATCGATGAAAATTCGCGATTATGGCGGAAAAAAGTTGTTTGTTCTACTTTGGACGCGGTTAAAAGGACGCTATCGTCGTCACTTGGAAAGAAACACGAATATATGTCCTTGTCTTCATGTTTTAGCTGAATAACAACATCAAACAAATGACCATGACGATTTTCGATTGGTAAGGAGCGATGTGATCTGCCCGACAAACGCGGCACAGCTGCGCGATTGATGAGTGAAAATTCTTCCGTGGGCCTAAAGTGGGACGCATTCGTTCCCATTTCTACGGGCAATATGTCAATATATCAAATTGTTCTTCTCTTTGATTGTGTCATTCTCTTCGACGCTTCCTTTTCACTGAAGGACTTGTTTTTTTCAAGTGCAAATTATTCCACAGCGACACAAGCTCATACACTTTGTTGTTTTGATACTCTCTTGCTGAGTAGCCTGGCCTCTTTAACTATCTGGACAGCAAAAGCCTGTCTGTAGTGGTATGGGGGCTAATTGAATATGCATAAGGCTTGATCTTGAGCGATTGCATCGCAACGCACAGAAGGCATCTATAAAGGTGGAAAGTGACAACAAAATAGTGAGCTGTCTGAAGGGTTAAGATTTGCGAAATTGCCAAGATACTGAAGGCAATGGCATCCGAACAAACGTAAGTCGTCTTGCTAACCCAAATTCACCGCCAATGATTTAGTTACCACACAGCATTCCAGGAAGATGGAAAGAAATTGACGAACTTTTAGAGGAATTATGTAAAGTGAACTTTGATGTCATGGAACCAAAAGAAAAGTTATTTTTTCTTAGTTTTCTCCTTATCTTGACGCTAGTATCCCACTGTCTATCTGCATGGATGTAAAGGGTTGTTTAGTTGTAAATTAATTGACCCCTAAGAGCGACTAGCATCTAATTTCTCCTCAAAATACCACTCATTGTCTAACAAACTCTCCTTTCAACACTGAAGGCAATATACAATGAATAGTATGGAGAATATGCATACTGATGTGGGGGTTGGGGGTAGGGGGGGGAATCGAAGAGCATTCCGAGAAATTCAGCCCCTGTATTCTTCGAAGTCGCATTTTCAAAGACACGTGCGGTCTTGCTCACCCAAAAAAATTAAGAAAGTTTCAACGCAATATAAAGAAACTATTTTATTGACTACCAGGCAAACGCGCCAATCAGTTAATGATGGCAGAAATTATACCATGAAACTAGCACTGCGGAAAACTGTCAGCTCAATGTACCACAAACCAACAGACAGGAATTCTTTGGCTCGTGTCTGTTGGCTTTTCATTTACAGCCGTTACGTGAACGTCACGCCACAACTTGTTACGTGACTACACCACTTGGTCACAAGAGGAAACAAGAAAAACAACTTAGTAGCAGCTCCTTGACTTCCGGGAAACATCAAAATACCTAGTAACACAAAAGTTTCGCTGTCGATCATTGAAAGCACAAGGTGGCATTTCCAGTGCGTACGGGTCAATTGCATGTCCTGAATTAAAGCTAGAAGGCTCCAGAACGGAACAGATATTTCGGAAGAGACAGCCACGAACGTGTACAAATATTTAATCATCATTAGCGACTGTTTCTTTCCCCCTTCCCTCCCCCGTTGGACACGAATCATTATTGCTTTTATCCACGACTTCACATCGGTCTTTGGCAGGTTCATCGTCGTCTTCGTGTCCAGTGCTTTTAAGCTCGTCATCTGGCTCGGTCCTAGTCTCCTCCTCGTCATCTGCACTGGGCCCTTGGACGCTGCTTTCTTCATTAGCTTGGGTGTTTTGACCACGTTTTAATGCTTGGATACGACGGTCAATTGCGGTCCATAGCCTCTGGATGTCGTTCGGTGCAGCCTACGAGAAAAACCAAACAAGTCACGTAACGTACAAGTGTCTGCTGATATTTCGGAGAAAGTTAATTGGGAGTAGAGCTCAGCATTCAATAACGTTACGTACAAAACGATTCCGCATTTTATTAAACAATTTTAATAGCTAGGACTCGCCCTTCAACGGTGACACTCAAATGAACTTAAAAAGTTATTCAAATCATCTGGTTATTTTGAGTGGAGCTTTATGCTTCTGTATTGCAAGCTAGTTGTTTAAATGAAGCTTTATGCTTCTGTATTACAAGCTGGCTCTTTCGCGGGGGACAGACACGAAGGTGTGAGCGCGCGTGGGCGTACATGCGGAGGCCGATGCTGGTGTAGGTGTAGGTGTAGGTGTAGGTGTAGGTGTAGGTGTAGGTGTAGCTCACAACTGGAGGCCTCTGAAGAGCCTGCTCGCAGTCTAAATGACAACATACAATCGTGAAAATAATTGAGATTTTTCAAAGGAAAGAAAAAAAGTTATCATATATAAACCATACATTAAGCCACTCGTAGGATAATTTTAACCATCCCTGATACAGCTAAACAAGTAGTTTGGACTTTCTTTTAATGTTTGATTTGTAGCTTACTTAAGATAACATAGAAAAACTCAATTACCATTATGAGGTAAATTTTGATGTCCTTATCAGTGTCCATGGCAGTTATCCGTAAACTCTTCTCATTTCCTTTTTCAAGAGTCATACTTGGCCAAAGCTTAGTGTTGAGGACAACACGTAAACTACCTTGTGTGCGCATCACTAAAATGGTGAATTTAGACAGACATTGACATCAGAATAGCCTATGCAAAGGCTCTTAGTCAGACGAGATGAGTAGAAAAAATCAGCACAAATAGCAAATCTCTATCTAGGATTTTTCCTTGTTTGTCAGGCTTTTTCACTTGTCCCACATACTGCATGACTGGAACAGAGTTTACTTAAAGTAATATAAAATACATGTAAAGGTCAGTGCAGCAAGAAGAGAAATTGCATGTTGGTAAAAGAGTGAAAAAAAAAATTGAGAAATGAAAGATATAAAGCAATCGAGTAGTCTTGATAGTCAACAAAAATGGTCTACAAAAATAATTCACCAGTCCCTTCTGATGGTTCTTGAGGGAATAAAAATTTTATGAGGTTGAAAAATAACTCACCAAGCCTTGACTGGAAAATTCCTTCTGTCATTGATTGACACATGTCATTCAATCTGAGTATCCCTCTCCCTTTCTCCCTCCAAGAATGTGTTATTGTATCAAACACAAACAGGCGACAGTTGCTCTGAAATAAAAAGGCTTGAAATGTTAACATTTGAGAGTAAGTTGTCAAATTCTTGGCCTACACATGGAACTTTTTCTTGAATATATCAAATCTACTTCTCAGACCATAAATCAGTTGCCAAGGTGGTTAGTTATTCTGTGAGGCGTAGCACTACAAACAAAAATGCATATGACCTGTAGGGCACTTAGGTACTTACAAGAAGAGGAGTGTTCCAGACAGGCCACAGAAAAATTAATGAATCCCTCATTCAAATAAATGAAATAACATTATATAAACTAAAAAACATGTAACACTGCCAAGAGAAAAATAATTTGCCTTTTACTCCTTTTAAAAAAATTTTCACCTGCAGAACATTCCTTTCCTCTTCTTCACCTGTGACCACAGACACCCTGGCAGGCTGTGACTTTGGTGGACTAAGGTGTTCCTGATAAGCCATAGCAGCCTCTGCGAGTGACTTGTGAGGTTTATCTTGATTAGGTGAGCTTGGACCAGGGGCATCAGCATAGGAGTGGGCCACATCTGCTAATGTTTTTAGTTCATCCCCTGCAATGAAAACTGCTACAATTAGAATAAATCTATCCTTCTGAAAAATCCCACAAAAGATGTAAGAGTGCCTTCATGAGGTGCTATTAAAGCAGCGCTTCTGAAAAAGAGTGCTTGTGTAGGACTGCTGTTGTGGAGAGTACATATAGCTTTCAATAGCAAGTTTCTTGAAAAGCTTGGTCATACAGTGTAAGTACTGGAGAATTGTGACATCACACTACAACTTTCTACAACATTCTATTAACAAATGTAATAATAATTTAAACCTTGAAGACTAGTTGCATTTGCAAAAGTAGTAAAATGGTTTCTTAATTTCAGCCTACTAGATGAAGGCAAGTGTAGAGTAAAATATAAATGCAAGTTAATCCCTACAGAAATAATTTTTTGGCAATATGATAAAAAAAAGGTATGATATAGCATATTCAATGTCTGCGACAAGGGCAGTTGTCTATGAATACCACAAATATTTTGTTCATATTAAAATTGCATAACACTGCACAATTGTTGGCACAATAACTTTTTTTGGGCACAACTGGCCCTCAAACTCATGCAAAGTCAAAATTTTCCCACTGCACCTTGTCTTAAGCCCTGTGAAAGTTACAGCCCCATCACCTCTGATTTGCAGATTACAAGGTTACAATGTTCGGTTAGTTGTAGTTTTTGGAGAGGTAAAATAACCAAGTAATCAAAGGAAGCAATTTACAATCAAAGTGTAATGTCTTTTTCAACTGACTCTCATGCAAAAGGAACCTTCTCCAGCCTTCCTCCCTGACTAAACCAGCAGGAATCAAGGACCAATGATTTACTATTTACAGAGGAGCAGCTTAATTATACACTCTGTCACGATATTTTACACAATATATTAATTAACAAGGATTTTAAAGCAGCAAAAAAAAAAACATTTGCAGACTGCATATTGTATAACTGTCTCTAAAGGGTGTTTTAGTACAATATTGCAATATTATGTTTCTGGAACCTGTTTTGTGATCCTTAGAGGAACTATTTGCATCGGCTGTATTCTCAGAGTCTGATTTCTCAAGAGAACCTCCATCTTCCGTGGCACTATCAGTTGAGAACTAACAGATAAAGAAAAGAAAATATAATTAAATAGAAAAATTCTGATAGATCCACTGCACTTTCCTTCTTTTATGTCTACTAAATTTTAGGGTTTTTTTTGTCCTCCAGAACATTGACATTTTGTTCCTCACTTGTACAATGTAAATATATTTTGACTATGACACTGTACTACAACCATCAGCTACTAGTCATTGAATCCAGTTGGAATGTTTCAAAGTGCCATATCTTAGTTTGTGTGTGATTGATTAAGAGCATTTGTCAGCTTCCTTACCATAACTCGATCACTCATGTTTTGTCCAAATACAAAGGACCCACCAGAAGGTTTTGTGGAAGACCTAAAAAAAGTAACAACAAAAAAAATAAAAAACAAACCAAAACTTATTTCATGAGGCAAATAATTTCCATACCAATAGAAGCAATTTAACTTACTCTTTAGAACCAAAAAGAAATTGTTCAAAATAATTTTTGGATGATGCTCCAATGATTCCTGCAAGCTGCTCTGGGGGAGCAGATTCATGTGAGCGCTGTGATGCATCCGTGTTCAGCTCTGCCACTGAATTTTCACTGCTAGAGACTCCTAAAGTCTGTGATTAAGAGAGGGGGAAGATGAATCAGAATTATGTTGAATTAAATGTCATAGCTCTTCCAAATAATTTCATCAACAAAGTATCACTTACTTCTCACACACAACTGAAAGACACAACAAGCAAAGTGCAGCATTGAAAAAGACAAAGGGAGAACTTTAGGTATTTGAAATTTTATCATGAGTTAATATAAACTACCCAGACATCAAATTCCCAGTAGTATTAAGATTGAAGTTGAACAATAGTTTACTATTGTTTACAATCTCATTGCAAAAAGATGACATACCTTTGGGACAGGTGATGCTGTGGAATTTCTATCAACTACAAAATGAATAAAAAAAACACATCATGGTTTAGGTTAATCTCTAGAGAACTGTAACACAACAAAATAAAACAATTAGCAAATTAAGCTTTCAGGAAATTAGTTTTTAACAAAAAATACATTCCCTCTATGATAATATTTATATGTGATTTTCTGACTTTTAATACATCCTGTAGAAAGTGATGAAAATTCCCAAATATGAGCATTATCAATGCAAAAAAGAGTAGATTTCAATAAGTTTACATTTACTTTTTGCTGACGAACTTGTCAAGTTCTTTGCCACATCAGAAAGGATTGATGGCTTAAAGATAAGCTTTGGAGGTTTAACATCTTCTGTTTCTGAAATGAAGTGGAAAAATAATGAGTAAAAACACAAAAATTAAACAACTGCACACATTTGAGAGTGAAATTTTGGCACTCCCCTTGTTACAAGTGTTTTAGAACTTTAGCAACCAATATGCTCATCTACAAGAAAAGTTGCTGCCTGTCAACAAAATACACAATAGCCTTGCCATTTAATATTTAGCAATTACTCCATGGGCATGCGTTGGATATGAGAAGGTATATACTATTAACCAATAGGGAGCATAACACTGAGTTGGCTTGAACTAATCTCATGTCCAACAAGAAATAGAATAACTGTTTTATTAAACTTTATAAAATCCTGTATGTTTGGAAATTTGGAGCCTCTTCAGCAACAGTTGAAGCAATGCATTTTCATATCAGGTGACTTGGAATATGAACTGATAACTGCATTTGGGTGAATGAACCAGAACACTAGAAATGCAATGATCAGAGTTGAAAATTAAAAAATCTAAAATATTCTTTTAATAGGTAGTAATGTGTACCTTGTGTGCTTGTGTTGTCGAGCTTTGCCACTTTTTTAACTGGGGATGAACAAGCAGCTGTAGAAATATTTAAAGTCAAATCTGTCATTTGCCTGTATACTTCACATCAACAAGCACACTCACATTTAAAATAGTTTTGCAGACCTCTGGTTTATGTTAAGCTGTACTTTGGCCATAAAAAACAAAAAATGATATATATACACAGGGATTTTTCTGTAGTCTATGGATTTGAACAAAACTCCAATCTAAGACATATAACTTGACATATAACTTTCACAAAGCCACTTTTAAGGATCTATCAAGGAATGATTCTTAAAACAACCTGTAGTTTGCTACAATACCCACCTACACTGCACAGCTTTGAAGGATCACAGAAAACACAGTACAAGAGACAAAGTTTGAGAGAAGGCAAAAGTCAGAGAATTTGGAATCAAAATTTGTCAGCAATCTCAGTGATAATAAGTCCAATGTTTTATGGTGTATAAATGGTTGTCTGCACTTGCCTTCCTCTGGTTCTGATTCTTCATCATTTTCCTCTCTCTCTGCACTTCTCTGTGATGGAGATAAAGAAATTCAGTTCTGAATAGATATTTTCTCCCATTCAGTCTTTAAAAACTTAACAAAGCCTGCATTGAGACTTTGTCAACTGGCTTTCAAGATCAGAGCTCATAGTCTACCTACTTTCTACAGGGTAAAACAGCCAGGAGTAAGATATGGTTTCTTTTCCTAAATGGTTTACCTTAACAATCCATTTTAATCTTTTCCTTCCAAGATCTCATTCATAATTCCCCCTACCATTCGCCATACAATTCTTTCATATTAATTTGAAGAATTTGGTATTGGATCAACTAGTGATCCCCTAATTGTCATTTAACTCTATTCCCATTACTTGTCTGCTTGATACTGTAAAGAAAAAATTCTGTCTTGATCATTCATGGGAGTTACAGGTTTAACATATTTGCAAGGCCTCTTGAACCTTTTTTCACCTTACCTAAAGATCAAAATATTTCAGTTGTCCTCAGAAGTGTTGGAACACTTCTAGTAATTAAAAAGAGCTTTTTATATGGGGCACTTTTTTACATTTTGAGTTTAGAGGCACATATTTGGATGCATCTATATACATCTATCACTGTTGTTGTTGTTGTTTTTGCTGTTTTCTTCTCTATATCACCTCTTGCTATATACCCTATGACTAATACCTCTACAAAAAAAATATCATTCTTTGAAATTACAAGAAAAAGAATTTAACCAAATTTTGAGAATACCTTAACTGCAGATCCACTAGAGTTGAGATCTGCATCTTTAATTTCAGTGACAGAGCCATCATCGTCTGGAAAAGTGTTCTGAAGCAAAAATAAATAAAATAAAACAAAACAAAACCAAAACAAACCCAAACAATCAATTTTTTTAATATATATATATATATATCTTAATCAAACAGATGACCAGTGTCAAACATACTATTTTCTTATGTCCTATCAATGAATTCTGTTTAATTCACCCAAATGCAAAACAAGAGTTGACAACTACATCATGCAGACAAAGGTAATTTAATTGACTTTTTGCAGCTTCAAAACAAAATTGCTAGGTTTATTTATAATACTCATCATGTCAACGTATCTTTGGAGGCTCCATAAGCTTAGCTTAATGTGGCCACAGCTCTATACGACCAAACTACAAGATTATGGTTACTATTTCACGAATAATCCCCTATCCTGTGGGAAAAAAAAATTAAAAAAAAAAAAACGCTTTCCTCCGCATAAATACAATTCAACCTCAAAGTTTTGTTTAAATTCTTAATCTAATGTAAACACACACAATACAAACTCAGCCTTGTCTGCTCACTAACAGTCGTATACTATCAGTGCAAGACTTGCAGAAATCCCTGAATGAATTATTATTTCCAAAACTTTACATACGAAGATAAAGAAACGAACTGATAAATATGAAAAAAAAGAGACGTGTTTCCTAAGCGTGGTCGGGACGCGTACTTAGTGACTGAGGAGTAAGTTTTTCCGAAATAAATATTTGAAAAGTCGTTTTACTGTTTACACTTACGCACCGTAACCTTTCCACTCATGTCTTGTCTCAAAGTGAACTTCGGTGGGGCTAAAATTCTTACAGAGCCAGATGTGCCTTGAAATAAAAATTTAAGAGGTGTAAAATAAATAGGAATTAACTTTGGACAAAAGCCTAAACAATCGTGTCCCTTCAAAACTGGCAAATTGTCAAAACAATCTTGGACCAAACCAGGGCACATTACGGAAAGTTCAACACATGTTGTGTTAGTCGTGTTTCTCGCGCATACCTTTAGAATCCTCGTTCTCAACCACTATTGCAGAGGGCGCTAAAAAGGAAACAACACAGCTCAGTTCCTGCTGTAAAAAAGATTGAAAAATGTCGAAGGCGTGAGCTATTTAAGCCCCTCAAACTTCAAAACCTCACCATTTTCCGCCATTTTTGTTGATACTATCGAAAGTACGCGTGCGCAGGGAGATTCGGCCCAGTTTTCTCTCACATTAAAATGTAACAGTAACTTATTTTTTTTAAGGAAATATACGACAATAAAGTAGTTAACTCCGATGCGTTAATATTGTAGTTGTAATTTTGTTGCTAGGGTAGCTATCCAGTCAAATAGCCTGAAGAATGTGAAATGAGGTACCATGATGATTCCTTAGATCAGCGCCTTCCTCCGCATTAGCACCCCCTTCGAAAATGCGCCCCTCCAGAATCAGCAAAAATTAAAATGTTGGCACTCATCCCTAATAATCATGTATTTGTGCATTTATTTGTGCATTAACAGTCTTTACACTGTCCTCGAACGATTGTGTTTTCATTCGCTACCATTATAAGTGGAGAAGACAACAATAAGAACGTTTCGTTAGCATTTATTTATTTATTTTGACAGTGATCCCGCCAAAATTGTCTTAATTAACTTTCGTTTACCCCCCACGCTGGCCTGCGGGCCCCCCCCCCCCCATGTGCCACATGTGTGTATGCTCGATTACCAGCCCCGCGCTTCTCCCCAAAACCGAGAGGGTCGAAGAACGAATCCGAGAAAACGGCGGAAACCCAGGGACCAGTCATTATTTACCGCGTACCACCTAAGGGGTGGTGAGGAGGTGGAGGATTTTGGAGAGGATCACATGGTTTTCAGGGGGAAAGAAGAGGGGATCAGTCGCCGCAACCAGGGTATAAACTGTGGGGGACTATAGAAAATTAACTGCCAATTAGCTTCCAGTGTAGGGGGAAGTGGGGGAGGGGGGGGGGTTCGTAAGAATGTCACTTATTACAGAGCCTGATAGGGGGATAAGTTAAATTTCATCGTGATCCCCCGACCCATCCTTCCCCCCGCTCCGGCGATGAAAATGAGCGGTCCCTTAGATACTTCATTTTCCCTCTTTATTAAAGCTGTATCAGATGACGGAGATTTCAAAAAAAGCCGCCGGGCAATGAAATACCGCCGCGGCACCTGTAAAACCTTTTACCGCCGTCTGTTTAATGTTTGGCCGGCGAGAAAGTTAGGCTCTTGTGTTAAGGTTTCGCCTACGCCCTTTTCCGGGCACAGCCGCCTGTTACACCGCCGGCTGCTTATGTCATTAACCCTTTAACTCCCAAGATCTCATCAGCAATTCTCCTTCCTGCCTGCCATACAGTTTTTTCTAATGTTAGTTCGGAGAACTTGGTTTTGGATCAATTAATAATCCCCCAATTGATATTTTTCTTTATTCTCATTACTTGTCTGCTTGATATTGTATTAATATTATTAGGAGAAATTATGTCTTGGTCACTCATAGGAGTTAAAGGGTTAAGGAAAAAAGTTATTGAAACTCTTGTGACAAGTAAAGATCGCTAATTTTCAATCCCGTCCTTTGGCATGATTTTCTTTTTATGACTTGAAAAGTCCGAGGTCCATAAATCGGATTTTATAAAATGTGACAATTAAATTTTGATTTTCCCACGGTGATGATACAAGCATATTAAATTCATGCACGAAACAGGGGATTTCTGTGACAACCAGATTATTTTTTGTTAGCACGATATGATGAAATTTCGAGCAGATGTGACAAATTCTGATCAGTCTGAAGAATCACGGATGAATAAAGGGGTAAGTTTCTAAAGAAACTGTGGTGCTGCGTCGGTGGGAGAGTATAGCAGGTAATTTAGTGTTAACAACTGGGTTGAAAACGTAAATTAGCCACCGTAAAGGGTAAAAAAGCTGACGTTTCGAGCGTTAACCCTTCGTCAGAGCGATTGACGAAGGGCTAACGCTCGAAACGTCAGCTTTTTTACCCTTTACGGTGGCTAATTTACGTTTTCAACCCAATTGTTAACACTAAATTACCTGAAGAATCACGGGTTGAGCTCGCTCAGTATGTGTTCCTCTCCACCGTGGAAATAAGAATGTCGTAGAAAACCGCAACATAGTTTAAAATATATCTTTGTCGTTAAGATCATTAGCTGTTATTTTTTATGATTAGATTTGTCACCGACATAATTGCCTTGGGCTTTTTCAACTCTGCCCCATGCCAATTTTTTTAAGAACCTCCGAAAGGTGCTTCACCAGGTTTCATTTGAAACCTTAACTTCCTTAAACTCTGAGAATGGAAAAAAAAAAATTCAAGAAAGATGTTCATGTGCGATCTAAAGTGATGCGCGTTTGTTTGTGCGTGCGTATTTTTTTCTTTTCTTTTTTTATGCTCACAAAGTTAATTTCAAAGCTGATGAAATGTATTTGCTGTTACACAAAAACTCTAGGAATCTCATTTCCCGACTTCAGCGGCACAACACTGCAGCAATATTACTCTCAAACGTGGACTAACCCATGAGTATTGTAAGTCATAGCGAAATGTTTGATTAATGCCATTTAAATCACGATAAACATTGATTCCTTCGATGAGTGAAATGTAGATTATCAAATTTGCATATCAATCGGATTTCAGGGAGTGAACTCAGTTAATGGCAACTTTGACGAGTCCCGAGGTCAACGACTGCAATTATATACACATCTTCGACCTCTTGCACGCTATTGAATCCCAAAGGATTTATCACTTCCAAGTTTCTCTTCTACTAATTGCTGCTTAATCTAATGATACCATGATATTTTAATTTCTGGGCAAGTGAGCTAATCTGATTTTATTTTTTAATTTCTTTAAGGTAGAGAAGATAAAGGAGTTAAATCGAGTCGAGTTGATCACGATTCCACGTTATTTATTGGTAACCGCGCTGTAATCACATAAAGATTGGCTGGATGGTTTCCATTGTTTATTCTTCCACAAATTAGCATAACTAAAAAATATAACAATATCTATCGAGTAGGCAATCCATCAACAGTTCATCTGCGGACTCCGATTTAATCAGATGTGACAGGTGGAGAAGACAACACTCCTTATTACCTTTCAAAGCTTTCAAAACAACGCTGCTGTGCCGCAGGTCAGGAAGCTGGACAAATTTGAAGCAATATGGTTCGCCAAATCGTTTTGATTTCTGGCTGTTCCAGCGGCATTGGACTCGCTACAGCTGTATTTCTCGCCAAAGATTCTGAGAAACGCTTTAAGGTCTACGCCACCATGAGGAATCTGTCGAAGAAAGGACAATTGGTGGAAGAAGGAAAGGAATCTCTTGGAGACACACTGGTTATCAAAGAGATGGACGTGAGCAGTGACGAATCGGTGCAGAAAGCTGTGGATGAAGTGTTAGACACAGAAGGGAGAATTGATGTACTATGTAAGTACCGGTGGTCCTGTAATAAGATTTTATGTTTTTTTCCTCATAATCATTAATCATTTTTTTTACAATACCACCTTCTCGAGAAAGCTGGATATAAAGTTCAAGTTGCGTTTTCCTTAAACAGTACGCTTAATGGATAAAAGCAATACCTTTAAATTGTACACGAGACGTACGCTTTTGCAAATCTTTTGTTTGCTGAGGTGACAATGCCAGTATCAGCTTGTGGCTAATCGTTTATTTATAGAAGACATCGCGAAGAAAGGATCTCTTAATGAATAATTATCCATGAAAAACCTGCTTACAAATTCCGTGGTTAAACCAAAAGTTGTTCGGAAATCTTAATAGCTAGCGCTTCAGGCAATGCGGTTTTGTTCATGAATCATAAAATGCCAATTGAAAGGTTACGACAGAGATCGATTTCAAGGCTCTCTATTTTTCGATACTTTATTGTGTGTTAAACGATAACATTAGCCGGGCCGGAGACAAGCATTAACGCCTGCTGTTTGTGCAATCAAAGCAAAAAGGCAGAAGGAATTTTAAATACGAAAATCATCCACCACAAAGTGAGTCATATGAAGCGGGGTCGAAGGGTCTCTCTTGAGTACTTCATCAGCAAATACATATGAGACTCAAGGTCAAGAACGAGTGTTTGGTCATTTTTTTTAGACGTATCAAAATGATGGATGATTCACGCGGGGTTTTAAAACTTCCTAATCAAACCTGAGCTGATCGTATAAAAGAAAACGATAAATGCCTTGTCTTTAAGACCAAGTTTGATCTATTGCTCGAGGCGTTTGCTCGGTTTTATAGCTTCATCATGAATACTTCTTTGTGAGAATTTAGACAATTTAAGTGCGTAGTTATTTCAGTAAAACAAACGAGGATCATAAACGAGGCTATTGTGCACTAAACCCTTACCTAAAGCCAACGTAGTAATTCAGTGTATAGGAAATAATTGCCAGAATTCAATATGTTTAATCCTTTTAAAAAATGGGCAAAACGTCCCATTGCAAGAGGGTTCCCTGAGACACAAGGCAGTACAAGTCTCCCATTTCTCGTGCGTCTTCGCCTCTCTGGTCCGCTTTTAAACTGAGAAGTCTGCTTGCGTCGAAATCGACCCAAGGATGCTATGAGCGCTGGTGAAAGTGGTTTAAAATGACGGTAAAAAGGGAATCAAAGCTATTTAGACACTGCTCGCTGTAAACATTTTTGACCCCAAAATAAGTGAAATATTTTATTTAGCTAAGAACTAACTGGTATTATCTATTCATAAGTTAACAACGCTGGTATTGGAGGTCTGTATACTGCACTGGAATGCACACCACTCGCCCTGGTCAAGGAGCTGTTTGAAGTGAATTTCTTCGGCTCTGTGCGTTTGATCCAAGCCGTGCTACCAGGAATGAAAGCAAGACGAAGCGGACATATCATCAACAACAGTAGCCATCTTGGGATCGTCGGGGTGCCTTTTAACGAGAGTTACTGTGCAACAAAGTTCGCTATGGAGGGACTCACGGAAGCTTTAGCTCCAGTCTTACTTCATTTCAACATCAGGTAGTGTGATAGTCTTCAGTCAAATCTCCGATAGCTCTTCTATAATAAGCCGAATGATACACATGTTTTGATGATTCTTATTTTTGGAATCTATTCAATAAATAGACTCTTCTTTGCCGTGCATTCGTTCAATGATAGATCACAGATAACGTAAAAATTTGGTGAGAATTACAAGTGGCTCACG